ATAAGCATTTTGAGTCACAGATTGCAGTGGAAGTGTAGCCAAAGTCTGCTTTCTGCAGAGAGCTCTACATACGAATTTGATTTAATTCAGATCCATAAAGGTCTCGAGAAGCGAAGGCCCGGATATTATATGAATTTTATTCTTGGAGGTGATTTAGATTTAGATGCATAGTCATCGAAATAAATGTATTTTGTGAGGTGTGACGAAGTGGGAAAGAAAAGAAAATCCACGTGATTGTCATTGTAATGTTAGGTCAGCCCTAGTTAGATACCGACCACTTGGTGGAAATGAGTTGGCAAGAGTGAAACAGGTTAAGGCAAGTTGGAGAAAGGTTTACTGAAGAAGTTTTGTATGGAATGAATGGATTCGCGAATGCGATATCTTATCGCACGCATGGACTAACTCCATTTTATTCGCACGAAAAGCCCATTTCGCGGGGCCTTTCGTGGCTATCATTCCTGGAAAATATACTTGTAGTCTTTAGTATGCGTAGATAAACAAATCTACTGTTGTCGAAAGACAAGGGTGATCCAAGAGCTCTTGCGGTTCAGCTAAAAAAAGAATAAACGAACTTCCATTACTGTTAAATCCTGGTGCAAATCAACTTTCCTTAGTTTCCGTTCGAAGCTAGAGCTGTCAGATGAGCTAAGCATATATGGGAAGAGATGCTGTAGCAATTTTGCTTAGGTTGAACAAGAGTTTTTGTATGATTTGAGTATTATCAATAGAAACATTTACTGCTCGGTTCATGAATAATTGATACTAAAGCTTGTAGTCTGGTTCATCGTGAACGAGAAGCAAAAAACCATCTAAGACATCTTTCTGCGACATTTTAGGCTTCTCTTCCGTTCTCTGCTTCTTTTTTGAGGGTAAGATGTTAACTACAGTGAGAGTGTTTGTGTTGGAAGAAGTGCCAACATTCAATATACGGCAAGCCTATGAACGACGTTTGCTAGACCTTCTCTGTACCTCCGATGTCCTTCTGAAGGATCGGTCCGACATCATATTTGCAAACAGTATGCAAAGTGTAGCAAAACCGTAAGCGTTATACACTCACTCATAGATACTTGGATTTTGTGAGTGCTGATTCAAGGATAGCTATAAAACATGGTATGCTGTGGCAGTGGGGTGAGGGAACTTACTAATCCGAGCCTAATTAGCTCGATTCTGGGAGCGGCTGCAGGATACAGTCATGCTCGCTGTCTCCGATTGCTCCATGGGACAGGCGACAATCTAAGCCGCGCCCTACTGAGATCATGTTTTGGAACCTGGCCAAAGAATGCTGAAAACCCCAGTTGAATTTCAGGCCACTAACTGGCTCTCAGCCAAAAACCTTCAGAATGATCGTACAAAGATGAAATTAGGCTCAAACGAAAGAGAACAACCGTGCCGTTACCACAAAGTACCCACTGATTGAAATCTATACAACACAACAATTTATCTGTTCAAAACTTTATTTAAGTGTTTAATTTAGACAAAACGCTGGGAAATTATTTAAAAAACTGTTGAGCTTTCCAAAAATGATTTATTTGAGCGCTGAGATTTGAAAAAAAGGTTAGAAAATCAAACAAAGAATGACAGTTCAAAAACTTCTCAAACATAGTGGGTCATTTGAATGCTGAAATTTGGGAAAAAATGCTGCCTGTGGAAATAAAAATTATCGTCGTAAGACACGTTGACAGACTGTCGTTGATCAGCAATATCAATAATGAAGTTTTTGAATTGTCGTTCCTTGAATGAAAATTCCTAGTTTTCTGCCCAACCTTCAGCACACAAATAAACTATTATTTTCGAAAAGTTTCTGAACTGTCATTTCTTGAATGGTTCTCTAGTCTTTTGCCCAATTTCAGCATTTAAATGAACTATTATTTCTGAGAAGTTTTTGAACTGTCATTTCTTGAAATGTTTTCTAGTCTTTTGCCCAAATTTCAGCCTCAGATAAATTATTTTGGAAAGTTCGACAGCTTTTAAATAATTTCCCAGTGTTCTGTCTGAATTGAACACTTAAATAAAGTTTTGAACGAAAAAAATGTTGTGTTGTATCAGTTTCAATCAGTAGGTATTTTATGATGACGACACGGTTTTTCTCTTTCGTTTGAGCCTAATTTCATCTTTGTACGATCATTTTGAAGGTTTTTGGCTAAGAGTCAGTTACAGTGACTTGAAATTCAGTTGAGAGGCTTAGATTGTTGCCGTGTTCTAAGGAACAATCGGAGACAGCGAGCATGACTGTATCCTGCAGGTACTCCCCTAACCGAGCTAATTACTCGGGTTCCTAAGTTCCGTTCCCGTGGCAATGTGACTTTATGCTATGAAGAGCGCTCAGTCAGTACATCCAAATGTTTAGATGATTTAAGAAAGAACAAAATGAAAGAACACAAGTCAGCAGCTTAATTTTGAAACGGTTGAACCCTGCATTTCCAAAATTTCTGAGCGTTTTGATTAACTAGGATTGAAGCAGTTGGTCGTCGTCCAACACAAATCGTTCTTGATCTGATTCTGTAATCATCATCATCTCGATCAAATGTATGTCTATCTTCACTTGCTAATTCTGACTATCAAACTTCTTGTATTGAGCAAATAAGCTCTCATACTAGTGGACATGCCGTGCAGGAGTGGACGGTTTCCCCAAAGTCTGTGAGCCAGATCTGCTATTCAAGTTCCCTGAGAACCATCTACCCCTTCTATCACGCTTTCTTGCTACGTTCTTACGGTGCTTTCTGACTTGATATGAATTTTATTTTGGTTGTAATAGTAACTATAATGATCGCTCATGGGAGTTACAGGGTTGAAGGGTTGATGGACAGCTGGGCCATTTTTCGCACATGTACTTGATTCAAGTAAGAGGCATTTTTGAAAACTCAACTCGTGAGAAATAAGGATCTACCAACTGGTACCTTTAGCATTTTGTTGTTCTGCGCAAAGCCCTGGCTTTGCGAGCTCGCAAGCTTTCAACGTTCAAGCCTAATCCATCCGATTGAGACAGGCTCTATTCTTGCACTTCAAGTTTTAAGGTTGTATGCATAGCCTTTGGTCAGTAGTATTAAGGTGTGCCTGGAGCTACACGATGACACGCTGAATTACAGTATTAAGGGTTTCCCCGGAGTTGTGCTGACTGAAATTCAGGCTACACAATGACACTATTACAGTCGCAATACAGTGTGATTATGCGAAAGTTGCGTGCGATAGCGCAAATCTTACTGCCTTTATTTCCAAACATACCTTCGATACATAGAGCCACGTACTCTGGTAACCTTCACTTTGAGTGTCTTAAGAGGACACAACCTTCACCTGGAGAGGAATACAGAAGTCATCCGGGGCGAAGCCCGGATATTATGATATAACTAATGACTAACTATGTAAGGATGAATGTGAATGAGGCAAATATAGTAGTGACATCCAGAAAAAGCTCAAAAAACCGAAGGATCGCGTTTTTATGGCCTTTTTTTGCTGGAAAGAAGGTTTTTCTTCAAAAATTCAGTTAGAAATTAGGATGAAACTTATCAATTAACCTTTCTGTAGACTGCGATTGAGCGTTGGAGGTTCACGAAAGCCGCTGGAATTCAAAAAAAAACAACGAGAAACTGCGCTAAAATCTTGCGCAGAGAGTCGCCACATAAATGCTGGTCTATCTCGTTATGGAGTGATTTTCAAGACCTGCGACGTTGTCAGTGCTCCTGGCCGTCTCATGAGGATCACAACGATATATAATATTATAGAGTTTTGTTATGACCCCGCGGAGATCAATGACCAGAGCCAAATGCCCCGCCGGCTCTGGTCTGTCTCCGCTGCTCGTCTGCGTCTCCGCACGCTGCGCGCTACCTCGCTACCTTAAACGCGGGGCGCGGGGCATTTGGCTCTGGTACCCTTTTCTTCGCTGTTTCGAATCCAATTTTAGCAAGCTATATATCATTTTGAAGCTCTTGATCTCTATTTTCACGATGACAACGTCGCAAGACTCTTTTTTATGATTTAAACGAGAAATCCGGCAAAAACCTTGTTTTCGAAAATCTCTCGTTTTTCTCCTAGTTTGACTCTTTTCACGCAGTTTTTTTGTGTAGTCGATAGGTCTTGTTTCTGTCTATAATGTAGATAACGTCGCCGAGCTTATTTCTCTGCTTATGCCGGTTTTTTTTTGTGAAAATTACAAAAAATGCGTTTTTCTTTACCTTATTCTTTTTCAGTGGTTTCGCAACGAATTTTCTCCTGCTTGGACGATACTTGCTCAGAATGATGAGCGGAAGAATCCAGACACCGTCGCAGGGTACAAGAGGGACGGCGCGAGGGTAAAAATTCAAAGGACGCATCAAAAATCAAAAGCCCGTGTTGCGAATTGCTGGTCTTGAAGCGAAAACTTGCTCTTTAAAAAGCCGACAAACGAAAGATTTCAAACCTTATTGCAGCATTTTTATCTGGTTTTCAGCAGTTTCTCTTGCTTTTTATATCTATTTTACGTCATTTTCTCTTCTCTGATCTTCTTCAAACAACCTTCACTATTTATGACGTTAGATGTTCAAACAACCTTCACTTTTGGCGCCCTGTCTCTAGACTATCGAAGGTATGATTTCCAAAGCACGATTATGATAATGACTTGTAGCGCATATAACATTGGCGGATCGGTTACTACTCGAGATTAATCCTCGTTCCTATTCCAACAAGCGACCGCTTTGGACCACAAAATGTAGAGATTCCATTCATTGAAAATGTACTTTGAGCGTTATCTGGTCTGCTGATCACAAGTCTCTTTATTGTTAAAAACAGAAATAGGTTTTTCCCATGGCGATGAAGATGGGGTGATTAACTGCCTTACAAACATTGCTCTCAACAATGCATCTGGCTCGTAGGAATATTTGACTGTGTTGTCAATGTTTGTTGCGCTTCTCAAACTATGCGGTGCGATGGTTCGAAAAACTACTTGCGTTGTCGAAAGTTATCCGACTAAGCAATTATTCAGCATTTCCGCTAAAAACGACCAGATGTTGCCAATCCCTGCTAGCTGTCCGATACTTTATTCAGGAAGGAACAATTATTCAAATAAGTCTCAGAAGTTGGAGACTTTTTTTCGTTCCTCAGTTTATTGCTGTCTTTTGCTCATGTAGAATGTTCCTGCCATCTTCAACTGTTCCAAACCCTTGGGTAAGGTTTGCCTTATATGTAGGAGTCCTCTTCGTCCATGAGGCAGGTTCGTCTTCTACGAGAAGCAAAAACGGAATATTGGTGGCGATAACAAAAATGCTTAAACCGATGAAAAGGCGTGACCACTAAAATAACTTCTCAAAAGATTATCACAGCGGATTCTAAAAGTCACTCACTTCTTCGGCAGTATTATTCGGGCAGATAATTGTGACAAGTACCGGCAATAGAAAGCTCATCATACATCCAATGAGAGTCATGCAAACAATCACAAAATGAATGTATTGTCTAGCCACCTTAAAAGTGTGTTGCTATGTTCGTTTGGTTGACCGCACGGACTGCTCAAAAGCTGCGGACCACGCGCGGCGCGGCTAAAATATGGCGAGAGCACGACTTGTACAGTGGCGAATTTGTGCTAGGGCAAGCGTTCTACCTCACGATATACCTCGCGACAGGTGTTTCGCAGTGATGTCTAGTCCATGCGGTCAACGAATAGACGATGTAAGCTGAAAGCAGTAATGCTTACCACTTGAGCACATTTGACCACGCCGACAATGTTCAGGCCATTGCAAGCTATCACACCACTGTATGCAATTCGTGCTATAAGTTTGTTCGTTGTCTAGAAAAAAGAACCCTGACAATCATTTTTCTTACAAGCTCTAAATTCTGATTCAAATGCTAATTCTTTTCGCACACAGGCTAATCGCATCAGCAGTTCGATCATATAAAAACTGAGATGTTAGCGATTTCCCTAACATCGGTTCACAGACACTCAACAGAAAATTTAAAAATGGTTCCTTTTCAAAGAGTTGAAGCTGTTTCAATGACAAGTTTCTATGAATCGAGCGCTTTTGCCAAAATTTTACATTCAGATCGGCGCTTGAAAAATGCAAAATTTTATCGCAAAGATTGTAAGTTACCTTTGATTTTGACTATTTTTATAGAGAAATTTCTATTACGTTGTCTCATATTTTTCCATTGTGTTTAACACTAAGTCATATTCTCCCTGCTCTCTGAATACAGAGTGCGAAATTTAATGGGCGCCAGTTTTTGCACCAGTGTTACAAAAAAGCAGTGACAATGGGCTTGAATTTATTCGTATCATTATCGAACCAAATTCTGGTAATGACATTTTATCAAAAACGACCCGTTTGTTGTTTATAAATGCGGAATTTAAATGTACCAAACTTGTAATTTTCGATAAGCAAAAATAAAATTTCTTTACCTTTATATCTTGCTCTGCAGTCTAAAGAACTCAAACATTCCTGAATCATTCCAAGCTATGTGTATGGTAAAATAGTTGTAGGGTACAAACTGTCTCAGACAAATCACCGGAACTTCAGCAGGACAAGCCAAATTTGCAGAAGTTCCGCAGAATTTTGTTCACTATTGCAAAAATGAAAACGTTGAAAATCGGAACTTCCGCGGGTTTTTCATGCCAAACTGGTTGATACCGGAACTTCCGCAGAACCTTCTTCAAAATCCTGCGGAAATTCCGAAAAATACCAGAGGTTCAGCAGCACTTTGGCCTGCCAGAACTTCCACAGGACTTTGAATTGTTATCTCTTGTTGTTGCCTCGCTAACAACTAGAGTGCATTATCCACTTTGGCAGCCGTAGCGTAAAGGATAGTAGGTGGATCTCACAGTCAATGGAGTGAGGTTCAAATCTCGCTTCGGTGTTCTCTTTTGCTGTTGCGGTGGGCATTCTTCGGAACTTCCGCAGCACGTTTACGGAACTTCCGCAGGTGACCTGGCGGAACTTCCGAAAGCGCTCTGCGGAAGTTCCGGTCATTTGTCTGAGGTACTATCACATAGTTCCAGTTGCATTTGCAAGAATTTGTTCTTTGACACGTGTTTGCAAAAAATACCTGCTTCAAGCAACTATTTATGCTTAAAATCAATTCTGAACATGCAAAAATTGGAAAGTGAGATGTAGAAAGGTATCTATAACGATTGATTTTTGTAGATTCTTCAGATTGACTGACAAGGAAAGGAAGGTTGGTCGAAGTGACCTTTTGAGATAGAATGTGCACTGCCTTGTAGAGTACGGAACGCTGATTCCAAATCTATCTTTGCTATCTGCTGCGGGATTCTGGGCGAGAAGTCATGAAGGTTTTTGTGAGTAAAAGCTCAAATGCAAAATCAGTATAAAATCACTCGTAACTTTTTCCTAACTTCAAATGAGGCAGCGCAAGTTGATATATTTGAGTCAAGAATATTTATTGCACCGAGTGAGAAGACTAGCAGTTGAGGTCTAGAAAAATTTACACTAATTTTGCATTTAACTTTTTACTCACAAACGCCTTCATAACTCCTTGCGCGGAAGCCCGCAGCAGATAGGGAAAGCGGATTTGGAATAGCGTTCCAGGCTCTACAAGACCGTACATCTCATTTTGAAAGGCCACTTCGACCAACCTTCCTTGTAAATTTCATTGAGAGTGTTATAGACAAAGGTTCCCTTACTGTGGTGCGCAATTCCAAAGAAAGGAGGTTTTTGGAAAGATATCGTATAAACTAGGGTCGTGCCTGCGTACGAAGAGTTTAGCTGGAGAGATTTGAGATTTATTTTGAGAGATAAAGCAGTTAAATCTTCTTCAATTGTATTACGATTATAGCGGTTGGTGAAAAGAGAAGCAGTGTTTGTTCCGCCGTCAAACCCGTTTTCTCCATGACAGTGAGAACCGCGTCACCTAATTTGGCGTTCCTTGTAGATTTTGCACTATTTTTGATAGAGCAAAACAAGCTTAATAAGATTCTCGTAAAGTTCGAGCCAAAATCTATAAGTTCATGCGCTTTGGAGTTACTTGCTTTGGAATTGATACTTTCTGAAAAACTACCTGTTGTAGAAAGTTTTATGGTTGAAATTTCGTAGCTTCGTATCGTCTTTTCAGCAGTACATTGGGCGGACCATTGAGGACTTGTTAAATTGATAAACTACCCAATCTCACGACTCTAGCGCACTTGCCAAGAAGCAAATCTGCAAACTCTGCTCAATGTACTCCGCGGCTGTAGTAACACTCTAGCACAGCTCTTTGAAAATGTGATAATCAATTTTTCAAGATTTCTCATGGAGAAAAAACTGACGGATCTCATGCATATAAAGCTGAGTTTACGATTGTGTTATGTCTGTGTGCTTATTCATGTGATTATCATACCAGAAGTAATTTAGTGAACAAATCCGCACCAACTTTGATGCATACATTTCGGAGGTATGGGGAGGGGATATCGACCATTGCTCCTCGTTGATGAACTTTGAGCTGGTGAGCTGAGAGTTGGCACAGAGGGAGTAAGTGAGCGTGGTGACGAGAATATCAACTTTCTGTGAAACTACCCGTCGCTATTATCAATTTTTTGCTAATTCAAATCCACTGTTCTGGGAGTTAGCACAAAAGAATAAGTGAGCATGTTAATAACGACGACGCGGGAGGGATCTGGCATATAGAATTGGGACAGGGAAGGAAACTGTTGCATATAAATAAGGATGACCTAATAAAACGCGAGACACAAAAAGAGGTTTTTTATATGTTGCTTTAGACATGTGCGTTGCCAAGAGGCAATTTAACGTGACAGAAGAAAACTGGGTGTCTCTGCTGCGCCTTTGTCGACTCCCCTTGACGAATCTTTTGAAGCTATACTGATTGAGTTTGATAAGCTGGTTGCAGCAGCTAAGAAATGCACAGAAATTTATGCCAACACCTGTCAGGCATATTTTAGCCTTTGCTTGCTTTCTTGCAATCTCAAAGCAAGCAGCACCTTTTGTGAAATTGAAAGCCACGTTTGAGCATACAGGGCAGCAATTGGCTGATTGGCCCACGCAGCCGGAGAACGTCATAAAATGCACTTTGTTGACTTTTTAAGCAGCTTCGGTCTAAACGCAACCAGAAGGCCAAGAAGGAACAGAAAGCGCGCAGTTGCAATTTTTCCGAGCCGCTGCCATTAAAGCTAAAAGCCAGCTATTATACCCGACACCATGCAGTCCGCTCGGAGACAATTATTTTATACTTAATAAAGATTTGTTGTTACAAACTAACCTGAGACAAAATGCAAAAGCTTAACGATACAACGCCTTGAGAGATCGTTGCGAACATAATCATTCGATATTTCTCAGGAATAAATGTCGTTATATCGTAAAGCGGTCCAGCCACGAACTTCAGCAATATACTTACTGCGTAAGCTAAACCAGTGGCATATCCTGTTTCCGAGATATCAAAACCAAGAGCCTAAAAGCATGCTGCACATACATCTTTCTCATTTATTTTTTACGAAACACCACCATGTTCATGTAAGTAGGACCAAACTGTAGGAAGATGAAGAAGGCGATGTTGCCGCTGAATGTTGCGAGCAGTACTGCTTGCATGCAACGATCCGTAAGTATTTCTTTGTATGGCACAGTTTCTTTTTGGGAATGCCCCTGTTTATCACACATAATAGCAGATACTTCCTTTGAACTGATTAGCCTGAAGAGATTGAGTGAATTTTGCTTGCAAAAATTCTTTTATTAACAATAAAACAATCAAAGAGAATTTACCAATGCTCCCTTGGATCGTCCCTATAAAAGATAAAGAACAGTAATGACAAAAATAACGCAAAAGTCCCGAAAACGTAGTAGAGGTATCTCCAGCCGAAGGACGATTCGCAGAATGCACTGGCAACTGGCATAGTTATAGTAGAGGACAGCTAAAAGTATTGAATTTAGTTCATAAGGCAGTTTATTGATTTGCTCTAGTAGCGTTTTGACTGAAGGAAGATTTGAAACAGAGGTGTGGATAAAGCGATTACCGCATAAGCATTTATTTGTACTCTCATACAAACAAAGTTCAGTGTAGCCTGCTCGATCTTGGACATATTGTGTGCGCATCAGCAACGGCCTATACACATCCATAAATTTTACTGCAAATTCCTTATTCTAAATTGATGAAATAACATCTTACACTGGACAACGACCGTTCATCTTGAGATTGTTCAAGTGGAAGAGTTTAGCCAAAGTTGAACGCACAGAAACGTTGATTTTTATGGTTATATCGCGACATGCCGCCTCCAACGGTAGGAGGAAAATAGCGATCTCGTCTTAGCGCGCGAAACTTTGAGCCTTCTCTGCCGCGGGAGTATGCTGTGGGACCGAACATGCTCTAATTCGTTCATGGGAAGTAAGCAAACTACTTTACGTCAAAATTCTCTTTCAGTGTTTCCGAGCCATTGCCTCTAAAACAGGCACTGTTTCTGACTTCGCTCCGAAAAGACGGACCCTAGCAGTAGTAAAGTTTTGCCCGAAAAATCGCGCCTGCGCTGATGATACACTCTTCGAGGTATCCAGTAGAATGAATGGTTGATAATAAAGGAGAGCTTACAGAGATCACATCTGACAAGTGCAGGCCCAATATCAAAGGACAGATATACCGCACGGTCAACCAATAATGGTACCACATGGCACCAATTATTGTTGCGTACGCGTTAGAAGAAAAAAAGGCTCAGTATGAAAGAGGAATGCTGCAATGAAGACAAGTGTTAGGGTTGTTTCATACTGCCGCACTGACTGCAGCAGACTGCAGCTGACTGCAGTGACCGCAGCAAACCGCAGCAGACTGCAGCTGACCGCACTGACCGCAACGGCCTCACAGGCGCCGCATCTTTTTGTAAAAGAAAAAAACAATTGCGAATACGTTGAAACACCGTAATTTACGCCTAGAAAGTTTTTAGATTCTAACTTACTCTTCTCAATCAAATTTTGTCGAGTTTTTCTCTAATATGCTCATATTTGCTCTGATTGCTTTTGTCATTGCGTATACCTATTTTACTCTCGCTCGTGTTGCCTTTTGGGGCATTTCACTCATTTCTACCATAATCATGTTTAGCAATGCTGTACTATATCATCAGTACAATTTTGCAGCGTTTTCGTTCACTTCTCAAGAAGCCTGGGGATCACACAAAATGGCAAAAAACCAGTTTTATATGGAAGTAGGCTGGCCATTATGAGAGATATGTAGATATAAGTGTAGGAAAAACTTCATAAGAAGATAGAGAAGGAAGAAAAAAGATATTTAGAGTAGCGAGATATGACGCATACCCTCTCAGACCGCCTCCCCTCCTCAGCGGGGATGTATGTGCATACGGGCTTGAAACACAACCTATGCGTTATTTGATGCCCGGCTGGCAATAACGCATAGGTTGACATACACCCGAAAGAGTAGAAGAACTATTAGCTACTTGCGTGATCTCAAAAAAGGGTTGGTCCCAGCAAATGGCTAATGCTAATTTTATTTAAGGACCAGTGCGTCACCTCTGCTTCGCAGAGGCTCGCACTGGCTCGCCCTACTATCTAGGCCCCACTTATTCTCGCATAATGATGGCATTGGAACTCACCGAGCATTGCCGACTATCACGGGCAAAATGTAAACAACTACTCATTCCAAAAGCTTTTCTAGGTGAAATCGGTAATTTCGCGTGGGTGAGACTTCTTGCAGGAGAACAAACGCAAATTTTTATAGGTTTTTGATTTCCCCATGGTTTTGACAGTTGCAGTAAAAACAGCAGCCACTGTGAGCTACATCTTTATGCAAAAATCTCGTCAAATGTTCCGGTAAAAGCCTGGCAAATTGATCATTTAAGCAAGCAATGCTTTTTGGCGCCGTTTTTGTAAAGTTGATGGACTTTTTATCACTTTTTTGGGCCTAAGTTCATGGCTTGCACATTCACATGGCATAAGCATCCAAGACTCGGCAAAAAGTGGAATTACGGACCCAATTTTGCGGCTCAAATGCAAAGTGGGTCCGTTTGGCGCGCAGTTTCTGAGGGATCCACGCAACGAAACTGCTCGTTCTTTTGCTTGTTTTACTTTCATGCGGGTAGCATGCGCTGTGCAAAAATTGAGCCCAGGAGGTTGGCTGGAACACGCTCTACGAATTTCGTAACAGACACACTCTCACACACACAGACACACAGACACACAAAGTCACGTAAACATCCTTAGCCCGTTATTAGGCTGCGTTCATACTGATTCCCATGTTCTGGAACTGTTCCCGCACAGTTCTCGCACTGTGCTGAAACAGTTCCAGAACTGTGCTGCATGCGCTGCAGCCGCCCCGCACCGTTTTGAACGGCGGGAGTTGGAGAATTTTGACCGTTCTCAACGGTTTTTCTTCCAGGTTTCGCTCATTTTGGCATTAATCCTCCACCCCGCTTCCCTTTTTGATCAGCAGCACTGCGAACTCGGAGCGGGGTTGAAGAATGAGCGCTTTTCTGCGCCGTGTATTCGGAAAGATGGGTATCGTGCGATTGTTCATTCTGTCTTCTTGTTTTTTGCTCAAAACTACTTCATTTGTTCCAGGAAGCGGCTGCCCAGTATCCATAGCCATCTGCCACAAATTAGGGAGTAGGAGAAATCCTGAAATTGCATGAGTTGGGACTTGTCTCTTGTTTCTCATGATTTTGGGCGTTCTTAGCCTTGTTCGTTTTTCCATGTCGTTGCTTCTCCGTTCTTTCTTCTACCCCGCTTCTCCTAGTGATAAAAAGCTGTGAATTTGAAGCGGTTGAGGATTGAACGCTGTTCTGCTCCATGTATCCGGGAATATGGGCCTTCGTGCGCTCGTCCATTCTCTCATCGCTATTTTTGTTCAGACCTACTTCATTTGTTCCAGAGACTTGTCTATTTCAATTTCAATACAGATGCGAGACTACGCAGCGACTTGTTAGTACACATGAATAGGTCTGAACAAAAATAGCGATGAGAGAATGGACGAGCGCACGAAGGCTCATATTCCCGGATACATGGGGCAGAACAGCGTTCAATCCTCAACCGCTTCAAATTCACAGCTTTTCATCACTAGGAGAAGCGGGGTAGAAGAAAGAACGGAGAAGCAACGACATGGAAAAACGAACAAGGCTAAGAACGCCCAAAATCATGAGAAACAAGAGACAAGTCCCAACTCATGCAATTTCAGGATTTCTCCTACTCCCTAATTTGTGGCAGATGGCTATGGATACTGGGCAGCCGCTTCCTGGAACAAATGAAGTAGTTTTGAGCAAAAAACAAGAAGACAGAATGAACAATCGCACGATACCCATCTTTCCGAATACACGGCGCAGAAAAGCGCTCATTCTTCAACCCCGCTCCGAGTTCGCAGTGCTGCTGATCAAAAAGGGAAGCGGGGTGGAGGATTAATGCCAAAATGAGCGAAACCTGGAAGAAAAACCGTTGAGAACGGTCAAAATTCTCCAACTCCCGCCGTTCAAAACGGTGCGGGGCGGCTGCAGCGCATGCAGCACAGTTCTGGAACTGTTCCCGCATAGTTTCAGCACAGTGCGAGAACTGTGCGGGAACAGTTCCAGAACATGGGAATCAGTATGAACGCAGCCTTATAAGTTATGATAATCGAGCTTTTCTCCCCCAACGAGAGTGAACATGAGAGCAGCGCAAACCCCATCGCAACTTTTTCGCGTTAATGCGAGCTCCAGCTTTTTCAGAAGTGCATTATAATAATCCTCATTATAGGCGCAGAACTAGAGTGCTTTAAGCAATTGTAATTTGCATAGACAGTATGTGGTTCGCGGCATCAAGGCGCACACCGCCTGTTATGAAGTTACATCTCACGTCAGCAAGTCTCGAGACATTTTACGGTGCGCGTCAATCAAAAAACATACTATGAGAGTGATTGATAAGTTTCAAAACCAATTCCGATTCAGAAATATTAGACGTGTTCCTAAATAATAGGTATAGAAATGCCCAACAAACTTATGCAACAAATAATTTTTCAATAAAAGATTTCTATGCGCCGCTTAACTAATGCGTGAGATCCAGCATTTATTGAAAATGTTACGTCCAAGCTATCAGCGTTGAACTCTTCCTATTTGTTTCCAACTCACTTGGCCCGCAGAGGATAGCATTGCGAGATATCTTCCGGATTGTCGATGAATAGACCATTGCGAAGTAATAGCTCCAACAGACACAAAGACAATTGAAGCGGAAAAACCCTGAAAGAGGTATCATATTATCACAAAAGACTTTCATAAACTGAACCTGGAGTGTTCTAGCAATAGCAACATGTGTATGACCAAAATCTACAGCCAAAGGGAGGAAAAGTGTGGCAAATGCTGACATAAACCCATAAAGAGTTAAAAGGTTCCTGAAAATTAAGTTAGAGTTGATTCTTACATCAGCCACCCATACATGATCGATGCTTATGCGAACCAAGGCCTTTATGCGTTTTGTGATTAGAATCAACACATGTTTTTGAAGCTTTAGATATTTCCAACCTGTGGAGTATTGGATACGTATTAAAGGAACAGTATTTTTCCAAATCTGTAAATTTATGAGGTGTGGTATAAGAGTTGAAGGGCTGGAGTGGAACAACCTACACGGGTCAGCTTACGTCTTAACTAACTTCACTTTAGCACATGTTTCTGTCAGAAACATCTCACTTTCATATGCTTTGCTCCTCTCAGGACCTCCTCTCGTATAAAGACGAAATTTTACGATGGGACGTTGTCGCCCAAAACAACTGCTCAATTTTGATTGTCCTCCTAATGACTACATTGTGTGCCTACGGTAAATCGCAATAACGCTGCAGTCTCGGCTTCTCTCCATTAGTGTGGGCTTGTGCGATATTCACTTTAGAGCTTTAGCATCTACCATTACTACTCAGGTTCCAGACTAGACCCATACCGCGCATTGCCATGATTCTCTGTTAAGAAAACGCTACCTAATATGTCTGTAGCGCTTACGAAAAGGATCGATGATATATACAGAGTGTCCCAAAAAGATGTGCACACTGTTTGGTCGTTAATAACTCTTTTGCTTTCATGTCTTTTGCCAGGCTTAAAGTATTATTCTGTAGAGCGAGGTTCAACTTAGATTTACGCCACGGAGCGAATCACCAAGCACTCTTCATTACTGTTGAATTACGGTATGAACTTTCAGCACATAGCGTCACTGTGGAATAGGCCTTTTGATGAAATAATTTCTAAAAAACCTGAAATTTGTGTAGCAAGGTTTTCAGGCATCCTGATTTCACTATACTTTTCACAAGTTTTTCGAGCTTTCTTGATGGCGTAATCACATTTGTGACAAGCATTGGAAAAATAGTTGTTACCCTACATTTGAAATAACTCATGAAAGATGCACTACACTGAAGTGCAAACTTCATATTCAGAATCAGCGACTATGATTATCTCACCTCAAGTGTTTCTGACTTGTTTGGCTTTGTTTTTGAGGCAAAATACTGCTTGCAATGGCTTAAAATCCTCTTCAGAGTTCCTACCGTAATCCTACAGTAATGACGTGCAATTGATAATTCGCTCCATACTGTAATCTAAGATAAACCTTGCTCTAAAGAATAGTACCTCAAGCTCGGCAAAAGACGTCAAAGCAAGAGAGTTATTAACGATCAAACAGTGTGCACATCTTTTTGGGACACCCTGTATAAATGTTACGTAGAGGTCTTATCTCTTGGCTACATTGAAGGCAATGGGAAGGAAGGATAGCAATATAAGAAGCAGTTTATAGTGTTTAACCCATTGACGACGACGCCTAATTTTGCGCGGCGGCGCTGTGGGACGACGCGATTTTGCACAACACTTTCAGTGTGGGAAGGTTTCGTGCTTATTTACGAAATGCAACATTGTTTTGTAAACAACTATTAACATTTTCTTGAACGACAGAGCCTATAGGTCCTAAGAATGCACAAAATGGGAAAAAATATTCACATGTGGAAAAAATACTAGACCTGCAAATAATACGACTTTGCCAGAGGTGTGGGCCACCGGGGGTCCACATCGTCCGTGGCAGCAAAAAGCGCGTAGGCCACCGGTGGTCCACATCGTCGTCAATGGGTTAAAGGCAGCGTCCACCCAGAATTTGGCCCCCCATTTTTTCGTCATTCTGGGGCCTTTCCGTGGCCCTGATTACAGTCCCGCAGTTCAAACTCTCCACAATTGACAAAAAACGCGATTCCTGGGGACCCTGTCTTGAGGACGCGGACGAATTTCGAATCGCTCGTCCCCGTCGGCAGGCCAGGCGCAGTTGCAGCAGTCTACAGCTTCCGCTCGCTACCATGTCAATACGTTTCGGGAGGCAGTCCCCGGTGGGCGGAGTCTGATATCAGACTCCGCCCAGCCAGGGACTTTGAGGCCCCCTATCTCCTTTCAGAGGCAACATTAGAAGACCGGACCAACGCAGATGGCCCTTTTCTGGGGCCTACATTCAGGATCAACACTGATCGGAGGGGGTTAGGTTTAGCCTGGACACTGCCTTTAAGGAAAAATCCCCTACTTTTGTGGGCAATACCTCTTGCTTGACCATGCTTTTGATACAAATGCTATGCTTCTCTCAAATGAAAGTCAGACTAGTTAGTAAGATGATCATATCTTTCTCAACCATAAATTTCTTTTATAATGTGAGTACAAAATTGCAAACAACCTGAGTCCAATTCGCTGCATAGCTGGAACAATGGGCGCTAATCCAATCAATGTACCAACAGCAACAATGGAAAAAAGAGCATTTTTCTTTGCCGCATCATTTAGCCAGTGTCCTGCAATGATCACACCAAACTCTCCATCAACATTCTCCCCAGATATACTTACGCTGTGCTGGATCAGCAATTGCCTGGGAATCTACCACATCCTGCATGCAGATTACCGTAAAGTTTAAGGCTTGCTGATTGCATAAAATGGAGGTAATCAAGAGGAGTGAGATGACTAGTATAATATACCTAACAAAACTCCTCTTTCGAACCTCCATGAAGCCTGAACTATGTTTATTTTCATGGTTCGATACAGTGCGCTTATCCAAAAATAAAAAACGGAGGACATGGACATCAACAGGGGAGTGAGAAGGAGTTTGTTCGGCTTACAGATCATGATTGAGATATGTATGTCATACAGAGTGTCCCAAAAATATATCAGACGTATGATCGCTGATTCCTCTCTTGTCTAAATAATTCTGTGTATTTTTGAAAATTATTTTGTAGGGCTGGAAATTAGCTTTACAACTGAAAGCGGGCCACTGATCGCTCTTCATTACTGCTGTATATATTACAAGCAGAATTGATCAAGTTTTGCACAACGCGAGCCTATATTGCCACAAAAAATTAAGTGCTAAAAAATTTTCGACCGGGTGAATTAGCATTGCTGATTTATTATGAACTCTTCTCTTCACGTAATCTCTAGCTCAATAATTACGCAGGTAAATTATGAAAGGGACTTTCTCAATAATTATCAAAACTCTGATTTTACCATCTAAGTTACTCTATAAACATATACTAACTCCTGGAATCAGCAGGTTCAAGAATAACTATTACAGAAGTTTTCATATTCTAGAATTTTTTGAACTGGCTGATTCATGTCGACGGAATTGTGCTACATTCCTGCGCTAATCCCACGGTAAAGAAGAGGTGTAGGCTAGTTGATTTACAACAGATTCAAATTCGAGCCAACAATACAGTAAGCTATAAAAGGCCGTTTAGAAAGATAGTTATCAGCGACTAAACGTTTGGTGCATTTTTTGACACCTTTAATATCAAAAGCAAGAAGAAAGCGGTCTAAAAAGTAGAAAAAATTCTCAATTGTTGTGCTTGATAGGAAAACTACAAAAAATAAAACAACATTTCAAGATAACTTCTCTAACTTCCAAGTTCACAACGATAAAAGATAATGAAATATATCTGTGTTCAAGAGAGCGTCGCATAGGGGTCGTGCATGGATTGTGCATGTCTTCTTAGAGTTTCATGAAAAGGGATAATAGTGTTTCTACTGTATTTGAAGGACAAAAAGCATTGCTTATTATTTCTCCTTTTGAGTAAGCGCAATTCATCTCATGGAATGTTTGTGATTTCCGTTTATAATCATCAACTGAAAGCGGTGATTCACAGAACTTGTGAGTAAATTTCCGTAAGCTAAGGCGCTATAGTATAAGATAATGCATTTAGAAGCTTTTGTAAAATGTCAAAATTCTGACAACTTTAAACCAAGGTCGCGTATGTAAGTGCGAAATCGGATTCATAAATGTTTTTTTCTGCACATCTCTTTCACTTATTGTGAAACTTGCAATGTCACCCTCATATCTTATATATAAAGCTGAATGTCTGTTTGTCTGTATGTCTGTATGTCTGTACGTATGTTCCGAATAGAAAATTCCATTTCTGAACCGATCCGGACCAAACTTGGCACACATACACTTCGGGCCCCGGCGGGTGTCATAGGCTACTTTTCGTCATCGATCGATATCGATTTTATCGATTTTTATCGATTTTTTTGCTGAGTTCACCTACGGGGCTGGGAGTTGGCACAGGGGATAATCGAGCATGGGGATTCCGAATACAATATTGGTTTTCAGGATTATCGATTACTTTTATCGATTTTATCGATTTTTTTTGCAAAGTTTGAGCTACGGGGCTGGGAGTTCGCACAGGGGGGTAATCGAGCATGGGGATTCCGAATACAATATTGGTTTTCGGGATTATCGATTACTTTTATCGATTTTATCGATTTTTTTGCAAAGTTTGAGCTAGGAGGCTGGGAGTTGGCACAGGGGGGTAATCGAGCATGCTGATCATCCCCAAAGGGGGTGATCAGCATGCTCGATTACACCCCTGTGCCAAATTCCAGCCCCCTAGCTCAAATTTTCAAAAAATCGATAAAATCGATAAAAGTAATGGACGATCTTGAAAACTAATATTGTATTCGTAATCTGCATGCTCGATTACCCCCCTGTGCAAACTCCCAGCCCCGCAGGTCAAACTTTACAAAAAAATCGATAAAATCAATAAAAGTAATCTATAATTCTGAAAACTAATATTGTATTCGGAATCCCCATGCTCACTTCCCCCTGTGCCAACTCCTAGCCCTGTAGGTGAACTCTGCAAAAAATCGATAAAAATCGGTAAAATCGACATCGATCGATAACGAAAAGTGGACTGTGACACCCGCCGGGGCCCGAAGTGTATGTGTGCCAAGTTTGGTCCGGATACGGCGGAGCCGGGTAAGCCAGCTAGTACTGATATAAAGCCAAACATGGATTTCTATGTTCAGAATTGCAGTTTAGAAATTATATTTCTTTGGAACAAATCGCTGGTAACTTTGCTATTTGACAAAATTCAGCGGCAGTTTTTATTTGGAAATGAGAACTTTTGACCATTTGCTAGATGGCTTTTCTATACGTTAGATGCGGACATTCCTCCATTCAACCATCTTCACGCTTGCTAACAATGCTTCTATTGATAGTGTTTGTAGACTTGGCAACAAATACAGAATTGTGCACCATCTATTCAGTTGATGACATAAGGGATCGGTCAGAGTTTGCCGGTGTTGCAAGTGTTGCCGGTGTTGCAAGTGTTGCCGGCGTTGAAAGTGTTGACGGTGTTGCAAGTGTTGACGGTGTTGCAAGTGTTGACGGTGTTGAAAGTGATTCTCATTCTTTCTCGACCGACCTTGCCAGTTGCTGTACGTGTTTTGCTTACTATCTGCAGAAGCTCCGGATTTGACACCGAACACGCATTACTCATCAGATTTTAACATCGTTCTCAAACAATGGAGATTGCCTATGTAGAACAAGTGCTTAACTTGTTCTAAAATTTAAATGAGGATCTTTTGTATGCGAAAGCAATTCCCGATAGTTTTGAGCGGAACATTCAAAATTGATAATCTACACTTTGGGCACATCTGTTTGCCGATATCCCGAATTGTCCGGTAAAAATCCGCTCAGCTGACCTTGGATTTATAGACTTAAACTATATATTCAATGTGAAGGATAGATGATACAGTCTGCCGCAATCTGACACTCTAATACCGGCAACACTTTCAACACCGTCAACACTTTCAACACTTTCAACACTTTCAACACCGTCAACACTTGCAACACCGTCAACACTTTCAACACTTTCAACACCGGCAACACTTTCAACACTTGCAACACCGTCAACACTTGCAACACCGTCAACACTTGCAACACCGTCAACACTTGCAACACCGTCAACACTTTCAACACCGTCAACACTTGCAACACCGTCAACACTTTCAACACCGGCAACACTTGCAACACCGGCAAACTCTGACCGATCCCTAACTGCACAGTACTCTCACCTGCAAAGCAAAGCGATAGGGGAAGAAATATGTTTATAGATGTCCCCGATGCTCTGAATCCTTCATTTGCTTATATCCTTACTTCAGCGGTCGTCGCAGAAATGGAAACATTTGAGGAAAAAACTCAACAAACGAGAAATAGATTACATCGTAAGCTGACATCTTCTTATCTCGGATGCTACCGAAAAAGAACGATGTTGTCGCATCACGGGGATCGAAAGATGATAGAAGCTAACTAGCTAGGGTCTTCACGTCTAAATTCCGGCTAAATTCTAACTTACGTAATGCGCATTTGAGACGCATTAGACAAGGCTTCCCCACGGCAACTACGAAGACTGGACGATTATAAAGGAGGGACAGAAGTATAAACCATTATTTTGAAATGTGACTTTCATCTTATATTGTAAAGATGTCGGGGGTCCCGTCTTTGTTCACAAGCAATTCCAGAGCGATGTGGTATCCGCATATGCCTTGGCAGGCTTCTTTTCTCAAGATCCTTGCGAGAAATATGCACACTAATACTTCCATGCAGAGATAGCATCTATTACGTTGCCGTTAAGAGTTGCTTTTAAATCTTTCCTCTATCCTCAAAATCTCCTCTTTCATTCGAGCCAATTTGTGACGCGTTCCAGTGTTTTGTTGATTTAGTAGCACTGCAGCGTGTCTGAAAAGGCTACTAGGAAGAAGCTTCAAATTTTGTCGAAGTTTTACAAGCGCAGGCATTGACGTGGCATAATGTGTTGGAAAGTACCATGGTCCTATGATCAAAAAGGTTTGAAGTTGAAGGAGCAAACAGCAAGATAGGCATTCTATTACATAACGTATTTTATTCATTATTCTCCCTCTATGAGTAGCATTTGCTTTGATTTGGCCGCATACCTTTACATCATTAACGCGCCGCCAAAAACTTTTTCGGAATGTTCAAAATGCGAACACTTAACTTTTTGAGAACTCCTTCGATTTTGTTATACATTATGTATAATATATCGCGGCTGAGATTCCCACCCTTCCCTTCCCTTCCAAGAAAGCATTTTACTGCAAAAGTAGCAAACTTTATACATCCTTTACTCAACCAAGAAGTGTTTCAGAATAAGCATCTTCTAGGCCAAATTAGCAGAATGCACATACCTACCAATATTTACATGATAGTAGACGTGTGAAAAAATCTACATATAATCTGGAACTTTTCCAGTTCAAAGCTTTGGCAAAGAAGTGTCTCAAGGTTTATACTTTGAACAGCCATTATAAGAAAAGTGCTTTGGGTGAACCGAAAGACACCTACTATGATTTTAGGTGTAAAAGAAGCAATCCCTAATACTTTGAAGGCGAGCAAATTATGGCTGGTGAACGCGTATAACTGAGGGTTCTTTCTGAAACAATTTGGCTAAGCATTTTCTCACCAAAGTCGCCGCATTGCGCTCATAAAAAAGCCTTATGGTAACAGGATGCAACATTTATACCTAAATCAAAGATACATTGGAAAATAGATCAAAGCACGTCAAGCTTTTGAGTAAAATAACTTAGTCAGGTTCCACTGAAAAAAGAAACAAGTTTCTTGGGGTCAACTTGCTCGATTAAAACAGTAGAGCTATACTTTTGAAGTAACTTATACCGCACTCTCAGGAATACACTTTGTACTTTACAAAAGTGCCGGAGCTCTTAGAGTATCGAGATTGGATTTCACTGTTCTCAACTTTTGAGGAGGATCCAGTACGCCTGATATTTGCCATGGCCCGTAGTAAATTTTGGAGAACTCAGATAATCTAAGCTGACCTGCAGATAAATATGACTCCCTTTACTCTACTGCTGTGAGAACGCAAGTGTATTGCGGCCAAGAGGCCGACCTGTCAGCTGAGATGCTTGTCGTAAGCGAAGATGAGGCGTCGTACGCAGACAATGTGTTTGCAAGGAGGTAGAAGGAAATTTCTGTGAAACTCTTGAACAACTCACGGGACAGGTTAGCTAATGTATTGCCACGAATGACAAAGGCGCAGTACTGCACAAGTTCAGATTCTACAAGGAGAAAGGTCAATAAACAGCTGATTGCAGCAAAAAAAGATAACGAAAAAGAATTTTGTCGTTCTCTGCAGTGTTGAACCCATTCTTGAACAGCTTACAGTCTGCTCTAATCCCAACCATGCCAAAATTGGCATTGCGGGAGTCCGTGTCGGGGTATTGCGTCACGTCTACGACTAGCTGCTCTCTTCTCAATCTTTTCGGAGTCTGCGAAGCGCGCATATGCAGAGCAAATCCCTATCACTTTTAGCGCGCATTCAGCCGTCGGTTCGGCCTTATCCCGATTGGGGCAAACCGTAAATCGCGAAAATAATTCAACTTTGTATATCAAAACAATTGCAATTCATCGCTCTATCTTAAGATATTGTGATCTAGTTTTGTCTCTCCACTTACAGCCAAAATCTTCAATAACTAGATGAAATCTTTAATAACTGCCACTATCGATTTTCTGATGCTGGTCGTTGTTAGAGGGTTGGGCCAGACTGCGCGACCTACGCGGCCTACGCATACGTGCACAGATATAATAAAGATATAGCGCGTATGCGCTATACGGAGATACGTGTACAGTCGGTTTCATCCCGGATTAGGCGAGACAGTCTCAGTGGAGCAGCGCATGCGCATCGCTGGAGGCTTCGCGAGCGCATAGCGCTGGCATTTTGCCAAGCAAAGACTAAGGAGTTTAAAGAGACGCAGGCATGGGTTCTCAGCACGATAAGATATACTGTAGCTGCGAAACGGCGCGAGCTGTTGCGAGGTGGACTCCCGCCAGTCCAATTTCCGCCTAATGCGGGTCGAAACTTACTGTACGCGTGAACGGAGATAAAGATTTTATTGATGTATGTCTGAACCGCAAAATATTTCACGCCCTCCTCAGCTGAGCTGTGACGGCGGAATTTATGATGGTTATAATGGAATGTTACAAAGTTTTCTGCAGTGATGCCCGACATGTCAAAGATCGGCTGTGCGCGCTCTCGTTTAATAACAGTAGCGTTGAAGCGCAAAAGAGTCAGCACGTGCCAGCAAAAGTAGGACTTACAAGTTACTTATTAGAATCATCCGAACAGAAAACAAAGAGCAAATACTCAGCAGTCCAAGGTTTTTTGTGACATGACAGCCGGTAAAGGATTGCCCAGTTTGCTCTAACGCATTGCATAACGTAATTAATAAAACGCTCAACGCTTTGACTTATTCCCCAATGTGTTCAGGGATCAGTTATCCCAGTTATAGTCTCAGAATTCTGAGACTTTTAGTAAAGCATTTTTGCAAAATAGATCAATTTTTAGGTTGTTCATGTGAAATTGCCCCGCCATCCTCGATTGTCCTTGTGCCTTGTTCGATGCTAGAGCACTTAGGAGTTCTCTTTGTCCACGATGCAGGCTCACTTTCTGCGAGAAAAAGAAAAGGAACATTAGTGAGGATGACGAAAATGCCCAGGCCAATGAAGAGCAGCGACCACTAAACAAATATTGGTTGCAGAAGGTCTTCTTGAAAAACAAAAAGGACATTCAAGATTGTCTTTTTTACGTACTTCTTCGGCAGTGCTATTGGGGCAGATGACAGTGACGAGTACAGGTAGGAAAAAACTGATGACACATCCGATGAGAGTTATGCATACTATGACAAAGTGAACGTGCTGCCTAGCCACCTTAAAAAGATAGTTAGTCTCAGTTTGTATTAAGGTAAAAACTTACCACTTGAGCGCATTTGATAGTTCCTACGATGTTCAAGCCATTGGAAGCTATCACTCCAGTACAGGCTATTTGAGCAAGAAATTTGCTTACTTTCTGAAATCGCATATAGTGCAAAAATAGAAATCGCAAGTTGCTCATGCTTCTACGGCATCGACATCTTTTGCATGGGTTTTAAATATTGAAAGTTTTTCTAGAGTTGTGAGCTCAATTATGTGACAAAGATTGTTATCAAATTTATGGATGGCATTCCTTTCATTGCTATCATTGTAACTACTTTGCAACTTCTTCTATAACGGAATTTTGTAGAAACTAGTCGGCCTTATCTCTGGACAAAGTTAATCAAATTCCTCAACTTTGAGTAGAATTGCACACACTTTTTGTGGCGTATACGTTTGATCCGTTACAAGGACTATTCAATCTAATTTGCTCTCGAATACAATGCTCATCTGGTAGGGACAATGAGTTTTTGCGAGGAGGTAGGGAACGAATACACTACCTAGAAAGGACGCCGCCTCTGCGGACTATTAGACTTTCGCACATACTGAGGCATTGACGCGTTGGTACAGTCCGTGGAGGGACACTCAATCGAAGCATTCGTTCTCTACCCTTCGCAACTCAAAAGTTGAGTTCATACTGATCGGAACAGTTTCAACACAGCGCGCAATTTAAACGCTGTGCTGGAACTGCTCGGAACTTGGGATCATTATGATCCAAGCCAAAGCATTAAGCAAGAGAGCAATGGGTGTGCCGGGCCTCACCACGATTGCAGCGGTGTCAAGATTAGGGTAGGGAAACGTGTACCTTGAAAAGGCGCCTTACAGATTACTGGACTTTATACTTGGGGAAATTCGAAATTTTTTTCGAATATTCGAATATCGAATATATTCGAAAATTGAAAATTTCGAATATTCGAATATCGAATAATATTCGAAAATCGAAATTCTCGAATATTCGACTATCGAATATTACTCGAAAATTGAAATTTTCGAATATTCGACTTTCGAATATTATTCGAAAATCGGAAATTTCGAATATTCGACTATCGAATATTATTCGAAAATGAAAATTTCGAATCGAATAATATTCGAATATCGAATACCATTCGTTATTCGAATTTTGAATATTATTCGGTTCTCGAATGTTATTCGATTTTCGAATATCATTCGATTTTCGAATACTGACCGAATAATTTACGTCATTGAGACTGCCTATGAAAGGCAAAACACTAAGAACAAAATGTTTTATGTAGGTGCTAAGAATGGACACATTCTTATGGTACAATTTACGATGGAAAAACGGTTTAGTCGTGATGTGAAGAGACCTAGAAACTTGAAAGCTACTCCTGTGACGGTTGTGAAGAGATTTTTCGTACTTCAAAGAAGATTATATACCCTCACTGAGAGTTGCGATTGGATATACAGCGGTCCCAACAGTATGTATGTAGGCTGACGTCAATTTAGAGTATGGGGCGATTTATCAATCGCTTTTCACTGTCGTAAAATTACCGTAAGACTGAAGCAGGTTTCAAAACATCAAGAGTCATTTCCCCAAGAAAAAGAATCAAAAGGGCTGAAAGTCTTGCTTTAGATTTCTAAAGACACTCACTTTATGTAGAATTTGCACTCAACCGTAATGCTTTTTTTCCAAAACTTACGTTAGGTATCCTGTGTTCCCCAGAAAAGTTCAAATGTGAGCCAGCGTGCGTACGCGGTGCGACGCTGCCTTTCGTTCTTTTTGACACGTTTCTCCTGAGATTTCAATGGAACTGCCTAACACGTTCAAAATAGCGAAAGGCAGCGACATGACGTGGTACTTATGGGAAATTTGCTGGGGAACAAACGATACACCGTAACAAGTGTTTTGCGACGCCTTTCAAAAATGTGATTGCCATTTGAAAAGCTTAAAAACTCGGGCGTAGTAAAATCAGCATACGTAAAACACTGCTGCACAGATTTTAGACCTTTTTTGGGGACAATTTTTTTGGATGTCTTATTTTGCAGTTGGTCTATAAGCTGGAGTTTCTTACTGTGATAATACACAATAAGAAAAACATGTGATTCACTTTCTGCTGTATTTATAAGCTGAGGCCATCCCTACTGGATGTTACCCAGAAATTGGCAAAAGACTTTGAATGGTATTAGCGATCAAACGGTGTGTAGATACTTTTAAGACATCCCGTATACGCTATGCATATCGAATTCTCGAATATTCGGTGCTTGTCGAATTTTCGAATAGTCAATTCCTATCGAATTTCCGAATATTCGGTATTGAATAATAGTAATAGTAATAGTAATCGGCTCGACGAATATTCGAATATTTGATGGACATCGAATGATCGAATGAATGACCCTCGAATATTCGACTATCGAATAATATTCGAAATTTAAGATTTTCGAATATTCGACTTTCGAATAATATTCGAAAATGAAGATTTTCGAATATTCGACTATCGAATATATTCGAAAACTGAAAATTACGAATATTCGACTTTCGAATTTTATTCGAAATCTCAAATTTTCGAATATTCGGCTTTTCGAATCATTCGCATTCGAATGATTCATTCGAATGATCGAATAATTATTCGATTCGGTCCCAAGTGTACTGGACTTTCGCACATGCTAATGCATGTTAGGACCAGCAATCATGGAGGCGGCGCACAGTCCGGTATTCGTTCCTCTAACCCCACTTTGCTGTTGAGCATATCAGTGGGCTGACCAATAACGAAGTGGATAAAGTGGATCAAGTGGATCAAGTATGACGTGTGCCTCACCAAAAATGTGCTGCACGATTTTTGGTTTACCAAACCAGAAGTTGGACGTAAGTGACACAATTTTTTGCCGGACAGGAGCAACATTAGCTTTCATAGTATACAAAAGCTCCCGCTCTATGCGCAAAGTTTGTTTCAGTGAAATTCAAATTAATAGGGACTCGAGTAACTCATGAACTTGCTCATTTGGAGGACGTTGAAGGCAGGCAGCACGAGTTGGCAAATATACGGCTGGGGGCCTCACTACTGTTAGACATCAAAATCTCATCGACCGCATTTTGAGTGGACGGTGACTTTAATAGAGTCAATATTTTTATCACCTTACAAAGCGGCAAGTATTAGGTTGGCAACACACCTTCCAGCTTTCGAGACTACAAGTTTGCAGATTGCTGCAGACCCGGCTGGGTGTAAAAGGACTATTTAACATACTTACAAAAATGATACTTGCTTCGCATTGGCCCCTTTGTTTTTTTGCCTTGACAACAGTTAAATAATAATTTCATGTTAGATTAATTTGTTTACCCACTATGCAGAATCTTTGTAAAATCTAGCAATTTGACTCGTTGCTGATCGAGGATATCCGCGGCGGAGTCATTCGATTCGTATGACATTGGTGTGCCAGATGTGTTTGCTTTAGGCTCCATTTCTTTTTGAACGTGATGGGTCAGCCACTGACACTTTTGCAGTTTTGGCACAATGTGCGTTTGGCTGTGCACGGCTTTATCTCGTCTCTAACCGTGGAAATCTTGCAGCAGCTTCTTTGCAAACATGTGCATTTTCAAAATTTTGTCGCTAAATCCAAACGCTTGTCCCCATATACAACTCACATCATCACTGTCATACCGGATTGCAGCCAGATGTGTAATTACGAAAAAGTTCTGAAGATTGCAAAATTTGATTGCAATAGTAAATGTGGACCATTTGTATGAACCTGTTCGTTTGACCTCAGGCAGTGCAGCTATGTCCATACAGCAGAAAGGGTGATGTGCAGTGCCCAAAGTGATATATTTGATCACATGTTTATGTGAGACATACATCAAAGCTAGGCTATTTTTGCATTACATCGCACTATTGATATTTCAAAAGAAATACACCTAGTTTGGTTGACCGTGCTCTACGTTAGTGTGAAAATGATTGCTAACCTGTGATAGAATCCAAAAAGACAGCGACACGAATACCTGGGAGAGCGACGCAAACATGATCATACGGTGTTTTTCGGACATAAACGTCGCTATATCGAAAAGTGGTCCAGCCACATATTTCACCACTAAACTCAGTGTATAAGCTAAACCGATGGAATATCCCGTTTCCGCAACATCGAAGTCAAGAGCCTAAACTCGTTGGTGGATTGGCGCTTCTGGTTGATTCCAGATGCGTCCATCGATCACGTTGACAAATCAAACTGAAAATTGTAACATCTGCAGAAGAAGACAGCGAGAGCGCTACCATTTGATACGCATTATTCAGAGTCTTTGTTGAAGTAGATGGTGAAAAAGGGCAGTCGAGTTTCGAAGATCTACAGGCATTCGAAACAGAAAATCTCGTGATTTCTGTGGATGAGCGGCTACAACAAGTGGAAAGTTCATTAAAATTGCCTTGTTTTCATTTCTAAATAGTACTCTTGCTGAACAGTTTTGAGACACTGCTCACACATCGTTTTCTTTTTCAAGCCGAAATCAAATGAAAGTTCAAATCGGTTTTTTTAGACCGATTGAGTCATTGGATGAACAAAAAAGTAGTATGTACAGGGTGCGGAAAAAGTATTGTCTCTCAAAATAAAGGCAAAGAAATCGGCGTAATTCCCAGTGTTTTCTGGTAATTGACATAAATCCTAAGATATGAGTGTATTCTAGCATTTTGCAAAAACTGGCCCAAAAATTCTGCAATTTCACCCAGCGGCGGATCCCTTTTTGCAGCACATTCCCTATGAAATCTTGCATTCCCTTTTACAATCTGAAAGAAGTGTGAATTTCTTTGAAAATTTCTTTTGTTTGCACCGTGGAAATGAGAAATCTCGCATTGCTTTGGGAATGTTATAGTGTCTTCGAATTATGCTGGAAGTAGCCAGATCGCAGTTGCAGTAGGAGAAAAGTTGGGAAATTTTCCAGCGAAATAGCGTCTGCGGCGCAGTAGGGTGCAATCAGAAAACGCGGCACAGAAACTGAGTACAATCGTTTATAGACTCAATATTATGATGTAGACAAAGCCCGACGCTTTTTTCATTATTCTTGTTACTTTTTGTTTGAATTTGGAATTAAACCACAGTTTGAATCCAATTCCTTGAGCAATAGCAGATCTGAGTAGCCTCTTTCCGTGAATTTTTGGAATTTGCTTGGGATACAATTTTCCTTGTTAACCAAAATTTCAAGTCACTGATATATAATGAGTACAGAATTTTGGAGAGGAGATTATGCTCTACATATTACCTTGATTTAAAACTGATATCGCTCTTGTAAGTTACAGTCCAAAATTGCGCTTGCTGTTATCACTCCTTCAAATAAACAGAAGAAAATCGTTTCAAATCAAACCTGTCTTAGTCGAATCTACAGTGCCTCGCCTATATATCAAAAAACTATAAAGTTTCTCCATCTCTGCGGTTTACTAGGAGCCAAACTGAGGGACAGTACTTCTTCCGCACCCTATAGAATGAATCGTTTCAATATAAAACTAAAAATGAGTTTGTCAACGTAATTTATGGACTTATAGTACCTTACCATATTCATGTAAATCGGACCGAATTGTAAAAACGTGAAAAAAGCTGCATTTCCACTGAGCGTTGATAGAAGAACAGCTTGTATGCAACGGTCACTCAGTATTTTTTTGTATGGCACAGCTTCCTTCCTGATATGCTCCTCCTTACCGAGAGTTATTGCAGAGAGCTCCTTGGGACTAATTAGTCTAAAAATGTAAATATGGCACAAAAAAGGATCAAAAACTGCTAACCGGTGTTTTCTTGGGTCGTCTTTGTAAAAGATGAAGTATAACAAGGACAGAAATAACCCGAATGCTCCAAAAGTGTAGTATAGATACCTCCAACCGAGTGAGGATTCACAAAATGCGCTGGCAATAGGCATGGTTATGGCAGACGATAGCTGAACGGCTATATTGATTATAGTAACTAACAGGACCGATAGGATTTTCAAAGGATATTGGGGCGAGTGTGAGATGGAGGCTACACCAGAAGTAAGTATCTCCCGGCATCGCCATCTACGGCTATATGGCATAGTAAATCGTTATTCACATAGACACTACTGCCTTATCACTAAAAGGAGATCTAGACAAATTTGGTCAACCCTTCGCTGAATTCTTAATTTTTATCTTAACGTTATAGGAGTTTGAGACTTTTCCAAGCATTCCTGTTAAGAAAGCCCATCAGTACGTTTGCTTTTTAAGCTATAGTTTGTTAACACAGAACGTCCTAAAAATGTTTTTACTGAAAATGAGGTGAGTAAGATCTTGTTGACGCAAGTCTTATAGTATTATTGTACAAGCTAACCCTACCAAGTCCCTGTTTGCTTGAGTTTTTTCATTTGTTCTAAAAATGAAAATCAATGATGAAATCAGTAACCCACTTTTTACGAAATCAGTCTGACAATTGCTACATTGAAGAGAGTTCGAGCTTCAGGCTTTATGTAGAATACTTTACTACACAACACTATTCTAATCTCATTCTTCTAAAGTGAAAAAATTACCGATACTCGTTCAACTACTTCGATCTTTCAATATGCCGCTTGTCTCTTCTGTAAGCTGCAGTTAATTAACATGTAATCTGGCCCCAAATTGGTTTGGGTCTAGTTTTAAACCAACACTTACTTGAAATGCAGAAGATAGCACTGCTATGTAAGTTCCTGATTCTCGATGAACCGACCACTGCGAGGTAATGGCTCCAACTGCCACGAACACTATTGATAAAGAAAAACCCTTAATGGAGTAATTTGTCTTGTTGACGATGTTAGGTAGATGTAAGCTGCACCTGAAGTATTCTAGCAATGACAACATATTCGTGTCCGAAATCTACTGCTAAAGGAAGGAAGAGGGTAGCAAATGCCGTTACGAGACCATTGATAGTGAAAAGTTTCCTTAACGACAGCGGATGTAGAACTGACACTTTAAGCTATTATCCAACGAGGGGTGGAGGACTATATGTCGCCGAAAAAGGGCGGTCCTTGCGGTCATTTGCGACAAATACGCACCCTTATACATGCGCGGACATGCGTTCCTGCAGGGAGTCCGCGCAGGTATAGTCCTCCACCCTCCAACGAGCTGTCGGCCACAAACTTTTTTTTATCATACAGCAGGGCGGGGGGAGGGGGGGGTAGGAAATCTCATCAAACTAGTGGACATGGCATTAGCTAGGGTTCTCTAGAAAACGTCTTGGGGTGTTTACCAAAGTTTTTGCGAGCCCAACGAAACTCAGAAAACACCAAGAAATATGTTTTGCCAAATAAAAACAAAAAGGCGACATTTTTTATGAATATTTACTGGAGAGCACTTGCATGAGTGAGAGAGAAGTCCGCCTAACTTTTTTTAGACGAAAGACATGATTTTTTGAACAATTCAAATTGTTTTATTTTTGTTCGAAAGTTCTCATTCACGGCTTGTGCATGTGTTTGGAGGATATCATTTCGAGCTGCTTTATCTATCAAAATGTAAATACCTAAAGGCCCGTTCCTTAATACGTGGGTAACTCCAAAAATAGATGTGAAGTTGCTATTTTTGACTCACCTTGATTTCCAGTATGTCAGGAACATGAGTTCATGCGAAACGGTGAAACTATGAGGCATCTTTGTAAAATTGTCGGTTTTTAGTTTTTGTTTGTTAAATTGACAAAAATGTCGGTTTTTAGTTTTTGTTTTTTTGTTTGTTGACTTGACACAGCCAAAAAACTAGCACATGAAAATTCTTAAATGTAATTTAAGAGCTTCAGCATAACTTTGTGAAAAAAGCGCACAATTGTTTTGATTGGAAGAGTTCACTTTCCAGATTTCCAGAAGATCCAATTTAGGCGCAAGCGAATTTTTTTTTTGAAATATGACCTTTGAAATCCCGTTGACAAAACTTTGAGCGAATATTTGAAAGCATACAGATAGAGATGGTGTGGCTTTTCGAGTCACCCCAAGCCTTTGAATGGACTTGGGTCATCCTTTACATATTGTTTAGGAGTTGAATAAGAGACGGTTAACAACCTGAGTCCAATTTGCTGCATAGCGGGAACAACAAGAAGTGTGCCGACCAATTGTCCAACAGCAACAAAAGAGAAGAGCGCATTTTTCTTAGCTGGATCAATTAACCAGTGTTCTGCAATTAGTATTTGATACTTTCCTAAAAATCAAAATACAGTTTTAAGCGAAAGCTTTACTCACGATGTGCTGTTTCATTTGTTGTCTGAAGATCTACTACATCCTGCATGCAAATCAATGTGAAGTTCAAAGCTTGCTGATTGCTTAGAATAGAAGTGTTTAGGAGAAGTGAAATAATGAGTACGATATATCTTATCACACTGCTCTTTTCTCTCCCCATCAGAGCTGAATCAAGCTTCAGTGAATGTTGAGGAATATAAAGTCGAAGAAAAATCAAACTGACGGTATCATTGACACACACAAGCTAGCAACAATAGCGACATTGTTTCTGAATGTTTATTGAATCAAAACAATGAAGTATAGAATATCAAGAAGAACGTCAAAGCTAGTGCATAAGTGCTCAAGCACACCCAAGATATAAGTCAAGATGAACTCACTTTTGCATGGTTAAAAGGTCAAACTTCATTTTTCTTACCCTGATCGCAACAGACAAATGTCCACGTTGGCTGAATTCAGTAGTTCTGCAGTTATCGACCCAGGTCTCTTGGCTATGTATTAATTGTCGCCAACTCCGAGTTTATCCACTTTTTGATGGTGAACTCCATAGCTGCAAAATAGTCTTTAATGTTGAAATGATTACTTGGATGATTTGAAACGTTCGCGAAGATGCAGTGTTAAGTTTATATGCTTTCTCATTATTTATTAACCCATAGCAAAGCCTTTATTTTCGAAAAAATGTAAAGACAGTGCCGTCGTGAATTTATAATAAGGTATTAGATTGTTCAAAAATTCTTCAGTTCACTTTCTTTGCATTGACTCATTTCTTCTCATATTCTAGTTAGATTGAGTGTGTTGCAATAAAGCAAAGAAAACTCTATGAAATGCCGTTAAAACGTTCACATAAAGTTTTTTACGCATAAAGATTGAAGCCAAACATATGAAATGCCGTTAAAACGTTCACATAAAGTTTTTTACGCATAAAGATTGAAGCCAAACACGCAAAATAGAGTTGTGACTTAGTCCAAAACAGGGCCCGGCACGAGCTGGCACCAGGGAATTTTCAAAACGAAATCCGCCTTCATTTTCGCTAAGTTTTACGAAGTCCCCCTTGAGCCTATACCCTAAGCATAGAAAACCCCCAAAAACGAAACGTCGACTAAAAAAACGTCGCAATTTGTCGACAAAAACGATACTCCCTTTGCTTTTTTGTCTCAAAAACGATATCCAGCTTGCCCCGTGCCAGCTGGTGCCAAACCCTGGTCCAAAAGCATTGCTGAAATTAGAAAGGAAACTGAGCGTGCTTTTGTCAAAGCATCAATAAGCTGGTCTCACGTAACCAATTCAAACCACGAAACTCTGGAGTTATGAGCATGAGTTTCTAGCCTTTTACAAGCTCTCCATTCCAAGACATACAAGTTAAGATGTGCAAGCTGTTGGTTGCTAATAACTCTCTTGCTTAAACGTCTTCTGCCGTCAGGTACCATTCTGTAAAGCTGGCTTTAGCTTAGATTTACAGTAAAAATCTCTTATTTCTCTTTGTTACTTTAAGATTTTCATAAGAACTTCCATCGTACAGCGCCACTGTGAAATAAGCCGATCGATAAAAAATTAATTGTTGCTGAAATTATTGATAAATTGTGACACAGTAAACCAACTGGAAATGAGTTTCCTAAGAACAGTTGCAAATTAAATTATGGTAACAGCGAACACTGCAGCATGTGTTACAATAGCATGTACTACTGCAATAGCCTGGGGTGGTGTTCAATTGCTAATGTGACTTCACTGCCTCTTTTAAAACAGTTCCGCAGCTCTAAATGCCAGATTTGCATTAGACTATAGGCTTGGCAGTACATATCTCATTCGGAGGGCCTCTACTGATATCAATTCCCTCGTTAGTACAAAGAGGGATGACTATCAAATGCGGCTTAAGATTAATGGTGAAGCACGTTAGTGGGAGTGCAGCAGTACGCGTACTGCCAAGGGATATATAAGAAGACCCAAAAATTTTGCGTTCAACTATTGACAATTCATTTTTCGTGAAGTTCTTGGAGAAGCTTTAGGTAATATTTTGTAGAGATGGCTTCAACTCAGAAGTAAGGAGCAAACTGATCGCTCTCCATTACTGTAGGACCATGTAAGAACTTTGGAGAGGATTTGCTGTAGAGAACATACTTTGTCTCAGAGTGATAAAATGACCTAAAAACTCTTACATTAGGCTGATATGAGTTGCTGATTTTATATACGAAGTCCCATCTCATCATAATGCTTCATCAAAAAATGCCAGGTGCAGCAGCATCACTTCTAGATGTTCCTAAAAAATGGGTTTCACCGTTTAAAAAGCTTTACAATCTTTTAGAAAGTTTAGTATCCAACTGAGCGTCCATAACTTATTACACAAGTTTTCAGAATTTTTGTGAAATATTTCAAACGGCAGCTTTTTCACAGTTACGTCATATGTCGAGATTACCGTAATTTTACGGTAATGAAGAGCGGCCGGTGATTTGCTCCATTTGCTCCGTACTGCAAATCTAACCATCTAACCAGGGAAAGATCCTTGCCGAAGTGGCCTTTCCAGAAAAGATGCATACCTTCTTGAAGAACATTGAACGGTAATTCTTACTTGCGGAGAGCCTCTGGACAAGCAGTGGTGAGAGTAACGAAAATTTGAAAGCATAGTTGAAAGAAAAAGTCTATGGAAGTCGTTTAGAGAAATCTCTTGTGAGCTCAAATGGAAACTGGTGAATGTGAAACCCTTTTTCAAAGAGGAAATTTCCTGCCAACTTCCGTGCTCGCCATTATTCCATGCGCAAGTTGGAACGGCTGTCATCACTGATTTTCTTCTGATCAAGCATTCAGTTTTTTGACTTATAAAACGCTTATAACTCGTTATCCAAAAATGTTCCGCAGATAAGGAAGACAGATTTGAAATCAGCGTACGATGCGCTCCAAGACTACATACATCTCAACTAGAAAGGCCACTTCGACTAAAGATCCTTCCTTGTTGAGTTGTAGCCAGCTTTACAATATGGTGCCTGAAGCTTCTTTAAAGATATCATGGCAAGAGAGTTATGAAATCAACAGTAAGCACATTTTTTTCTGAGAGAGCCTGTATATGATGTACGTATGCATATTAAAACGACGGTTAACCTAGTTCGCCTCTAAGATGTAATCAGCTTGACAATTGCCAATCTATGTAAACAACCGAGTCTTAGTTTTGTCTTATTAGAGTGATGAGTAGGTTTTTTGCTTTGATTGAAACCAAAGGGATGGAGAAATCAATATTTTGGAAGTGTTTTGTTTTGCAAGAATGGGTTTTGCTCAAAGTAGCGATCTATCGCATTAGTTCATATACGCTCTGAGCAGGAATTAGCCATAAGACCAAGAAAGCTCGTTTTGAGAAAGAGGTTTCTCAAAAGTTTTCACTTACATCTCTGTTATTTCGCCCAGTTTTGAAAAAAAGACCACTCAGATGTGGTCAGAAAAAGAACAAAAGGACAGTGACATGTTAGCAACAATGCTTAAAAAAAGTTGAATGGGCCATGTACAGGATGTCCCAAAAAGATGTGCACACTGTCTGATCGTCAATAACACTCTTGCTTTGATGTCGTGTAAAGGGCGAGATTTAACTTAGATTCACAGTATGGAGCGAATCGGCGATCGCTCTTCACTACTGGAGGATTATGGCAAGAACTTTCAGTACATAGAACCATCTAGAAAAGAGCCATCTAAAAAAATCTTTCAAAAAATCTGAAAAATTGTGCAGAAGGATTTTGCATCTGATGATTTCACTACATAACTTTTAAGACTTTTGGAGCATTTTCAGTGATTCTAAACCCATTCTTACGAACACTGGAGGAAAACATGTCACGATAATTTTGAAAGACCTTATGAAAGATGCAATACACCAAAGCAAATTCCATATTTGAAGTCAGCGACTTTGATTAACCCATTATAAGAATTTTTGGCTTACATGGTTTCCTTTTTGAAGCAAAATATGCTCTCAATGGCCTAAGATCCTTTTTGAACTTTCTACCATAATCCACAGTAGTGAAAAGCGATCTGACTTACTTTACAGTGTAGTTCTGAGCTGAGCATCGCTCTAGAGAATGGTACCAAAAGTTCCTTGAAAGAAATCAAAGCAAGAGAGTTATCAGTGACCAAAAAGGCGCATTTTTTGGGACACTCTGTGTTAGGTTGAAATTTGAGTCATCCACCTATACAAGTCAAAACCGCAATAAACTATATTTACACTATGCTCTAGAGAAGCTCCACACTATTTGATAGAACAAATCTGTTAAGCCTTCTGGCAGATTCAAGCGTCTGCACCAACTTTGCCTCAGCGGACTTCGAAGCCAAAAATGATCTAAATGCCAGGAAAATTGGAAAATATTGAAACAATGCTGGTACTTTTCCTAATAACCTCCAATTTCGACACTTCCATGAATCTTGATATGGTTAGAAAATCTTTTGATGTGTTGTTGAACGGTCGCCAAGATTGATATGGCAACATTTATTATTTGCTAACGTTTCGGAGCCAACGCCGTCTTCAAAGCCTGTAACCAAGAACGTATGTGTGGAGTACTTGCTGAGCACTCGTTACCGTAACGATTGAAACTGAGTTGAGCACGAGACAGCAAAGAGCTGAAACACGCCTCACTTTATTCGACGTCAGTCGAGAGATCTGACCGCTCGTGGTCAAGCTGTGCAAAATGCGATTGTACGTTTTTGCTCTCCATGCTGTGGAAGAAACGTTAGCCAAATAGTAACTCTTACCATATAAACCTTAGCGACCGTACAACAATAAACCAAAAAATTGGAACGTTGCCCATATCCTACAATTCTTCTACGCTCACGCATGCACTTGTTTCAATTATTTTGTTGCTGCATTTGTCCTCGGCTAGAATTCGAGTGAACGAAATCTTCCATCCAAAATGTTGAAATGCTTTCCACTTATGATTGTGTATTACAAACCATTAAATAATCTATGTAAATTTTTGGCATCTCAAAGGCAGCGTCCAGGCAATTCTGGACCTATGGGGATTTTACGTGGAAACTAATTTTGGGGCCCTAACTAAGGCAAGGCCCAAGCGACAGCGCAAGTGAATCAATAACGACTATGATGCACGCCTCCAAACTGGACCCCAAGTTCGTATAATCTGGCGACTTGCCTCGTGTTTGCATGCTTTCGCGCGAGGACCCATGCGCATTTGATGTGTCGCATTATGAATCCATGCGGATTACGATCCTGTGGTCCAGTTTGGAGGCGAATATCTCAGCCGTTAGAGCACCATCTGAGCAATGTCTAAGATAGAGTCCCAAAATTACTGTCCACGTGGACCCCATACGTCCACATTTGCTTGGACCTATAAGAGAACTGAAGAGTTACCACATCTAGCCACCTTATCTGTTTTTGATGCCAAATTCGTGGCTCTTGAAATAAAATATTTACAAATGTGTAAGCTATATAAGCGCTGCTTTGGCAAGAGCAAAGAATTTTCATTTAATCAACTTTTGGCCAAGGGAAGAGGCAAAGGGAAAAATGCAGTGTGTTTCAGGACACTTTTGAATGTGTGTAGTGCGTTTCATATAAGCTGGAAGATTTGTAGATGGATGGGCTCCCATACCCTCGATACATAGAGCCACGTACTCTGGTAACCTTCACTTTGAAGGCTATGAGGAAACACAACTTTCACCTGAAAAAAAACAGAAGTCATCCGGGGCTTCGCCCCGGATGTTGTTATCCTGATTATATCAGAACGAATGTTAATGAAGCAAATATAGGGAACAAAATCTTTAGCTTATCACAGCGAAACCCAGAATTTGCGTTTTTATAGTCTTAAAAAAAGGTTTCTGTGGGATTTTCGCCAGAATTCAAAACACAATTTCTTAATTAACCTCTCATTTGAACAAAATCGAGTTTCAGAAGTTTAGGAAAGCTATTGGAGTTAAACAAGAACGAGAAACTGCGCTTGAATCTTGCGCAGAGAGTCGCGCACGAAAACGCTGGTCTATCTCGTTAATAAGTGAATTTTGAAGCTTGGGACGTTGTTAGTTCTCCTCGTCGTGTCATGACGATCAGAATGATATATAATGTTGCAGGATTTCGTTAAGACCCCGCGAAGATCTACGACCAGAGCCAAATGCCCCGTCGGCTCTGGTCTGTCTCCGCTGCTCGTCTGCGTCTCCGCGCGCTGCGCGCTACCTCGCTACCCCAAACGCGGGGCGCGGGGCATTTGGCTCTGGTACCCTTTTCCTCGCTGTTTCGAACCCAATTTTAGCAAGCTATATATCATTTTGAAGCTCTTGATCTCTATTTTCATGCTGACAACGTCCCAGAACCACATTCTTTGATTTGATCGAGAAATCCGGCAAAAACCTTGTTTTCGAAAATGTCTTGTTTTTCTCCTAGGTTAGCTATTTTCACGCGATTTTTTCGTGCATTCTGTAGATCTTGCTTCTGTTCATAATGCAGACAACCACCCAGCCCTTACCTCTTTCATTATGGTGGAATTTTTTGCGAAAAATCGTAAAAAGTGCGTTTTTCTTTACCTTGTTCTGTTTCAGTGCTTTCGCATCAATTTTTTTCCAGCTTGGGCGATTATTGCTCAAAACAATAAGCGCAACAATACAGACAACGTCCCAGTAAACAGGAACGTCAGTGCGGGGATAAAAATCTAAAGGACGCATCAAAAACCAAAACCCTGTGTTGCGAATTGCTTGTCCTGGAGCGAAAACTTGCACTGTGACAAGCCGCCAAATGAAAGATTTCAGACCTCTTTGCAGCGTTTTTATCCGGTTTTCAGCAGTTTCTTTTGCTTTTTATATCTGTTTTACGTCATTTTCTCATCTCTGATCTTCTTTGGACAATCTTCACTATTTATGACGTCAGATGTTCAAACAACCTTCACTTTTGACGCCCTGTCTCTAGACTATCGAAAGTATGCTTATGGCTTCTAAGCAAGCCGATTATCAGTCAGATGCAAAATATTGTCACACGCTATGTCACGTGCATACAGTGTACGCAAGAACAGAATGCGCGCGAAACATTGAAAAATCTCATAAATTATCTTAATCAGGCTGACGCAGTAAATTTTTTTCCCATTTTCCCCTTTGTTTTGCTTTTGAAAACGATATTCAACATCTGAAAGCGCCTATCCGCTTCTTGACCGTGATCAGCATGCCAGAAATGTCAAAGTCAGCTTTAAAAAAAGAAGACATTGAAGGAACTTTCACTGGAATGTCGTCACCCCTCCAATCAAATCAGGAAGACGTTTATGTTCAAATCACTCCTTCTTCCCCATCCCCTTCCCTTTTTTCCCTCCCCTTTACCCCTTTGGGTGTTTCTCTAGATGTTATAAACTTTATAAGATTTCATACTTGATCTCAACAAGCTTAATCCCTTTCTTTTGCTTAGAAACTTCTCGAACGTTGGATATGAATTGACCCAATAGAGTTTTTTTGTGCTACTGATTACCTCCCAAGTTTCAGTTTGACATGGCACGCTTTTGGTATTAAAATAAATAAATGAATATTAATTTTGAATTAAATGCGCAGCTGTATTTGGCACTTTGGATGGATAACCCCCATTGAGTCGAATTCGAAAGCAGTGTGGCATACTGATTAAGTTTCCCTGACCGTTCGTCGTGATTGTAACCATGGAAGGCCTGTGCTGTTGTAATTTGCTCTGTGCCTTATAGCTCAGTGGGAGTGTCGCAACCAAACTGAGGCTGCGCGGGTTTCCACAGATTCTGTTCCAACTACGCCATTGCCCAGAACCGACTAAACCCGCCTCCACATCAAATGCCTCAAAATGGTTAGGAGAAAATTAGGTCTGCGCTGGTCTTTGACAGGATTGCTGCCATTCTGGTGGAGGCTAGGAAGAACGCGCAACACTTTCGCTATGTTCTGCGAGGCTCCCAAGAGGGGTTTCGATCTTATGCGAAAAACCGTTTTGAGTGATATACGAAAAGGTATATAATTTGCGGAAAATCCTAAGAATACTTTGACGAGCACTTCTTTTGACAAAAGACTATGTAGCAAGAAATTTGGCAAGAGAACTACGTGAAGGACCAAAGACAAGAAGCACAGCAATAACGCAATGTAAACGTAAGCAATAGCAAACAAAGTGGCGAAGCAAAAAGCATATAGCAAAGTTTCCGATTGAAAAAATGCCCTTCTAGTCATCCTTTTCACGGTGCAATCCTCTGCGTAAGGGATAGGATACTTCCCAATTTGCTCACTTGTTTATTTGTTACAGCCTTCACAATTTCACTGCTCGCAGCACGTGTTCTGTTCCTCTTGTAAGACACAGAGATCCTCCGATATATCGTAGGTCACATTTATGTATAATGGATTCAGCAGTAACAACGACACAGGGAGAAAAGCATTTCAAAATCTTCGAAATCCACGTCCATAACCGTTGTCGGCCAACATTATTAACATCAAGCGCTTTCGGTGTTTTCCGAGAGACACATTTGTAAAGCGATCCAACATCCTTGGTCTCAAAAATCCGAGACTTTTTGAGTTGATCTTGGTGTAATTTGTGGAGCGAAATTTTGCTCTTGAGAAGATTTCTCATGTTCAATCGATCTGAAGCCTTGTTCAAGATTCGCACTGTATTTCGGCGTCCTTATCGTCCATGAAGCAGGTTCACCTCTAGCAAGGAAAAGAAATGGAATGTTGGTGATGATGACGAATACGCTTACACCGAGGAAGAGGTGCGACCACTAAAGTACATGTCATGAGCGGAAATTTATGGCTTTTGAAGTGCATAGGAACTTGAGAGCACCTCATCAACAGTATTGTCGGGGCAGACGATTGTGACGAGTACAGGCAATATAAAGCTAATAATGCATCCAAAAAGTGTTATGCAAACGATAACAAAATGAACGTGCTGCCTAGCGACCTGAAAATAGCAGCGAAAATTTTTTTTTAAGTCTTAATCTGTTAACTTACCACTTGAGCGCATTTGATGGAACCAACAATGTTTAAACCATTGCATGCTATTGCTCCGCTGTATGCAATTTGAGCTATCAGTCGATTTCGTGTCTAAAAGGGATTCAATCGTTTGAGGCAGTCTAAGTTACACATAAACCAATGTTTGGTCTATTCTTCAACGTTGCTCAACCCTTCTAAAAGTATTGGATTGTTCGGTGTTAATCGTCTGAATATTAACCGGGTAAGTCATACACCTCAATTCTAAAAAAAGGTTCCAAAGTATCACCGGAAAAAGCAAGGCAAGCTCTATAGGATGATGTCCTGCTTTTACACAAGCTTTAATCCACCTCGAATTTAAAGCTAAAAACTGAAAAGGTCTAACTGCCCGAAAAATCGATAAATCGTAGCGCCGTCCAAGAAAATCCTACAAAAATCCTAACTCATTCACGTATGCACTTTCTATATCAAACATCTACGCATAATATTGGTGTATTTCTCCTTCCTTAAAGGCAGCGTCCGGGCAAGATCCATCCACCCAGGTTAGCACATAGTTGTGAAGAGGGGCCCATGAGTATCCGATCTGCGTTGGTCCGAATCTTTGAAGTGGCCTTTAAAAGGAGATACGGGCTTGTGATACGTATCACAAACTGTCCCTTCGTATCACAAACCACCGCTGAGGACGAGTGCTCGAGGAAATAAAGAGGAAATTATTGCAATCAATTGCATATGGAAAGCTTGCGCAGTTTTGAATAACCAAAAAGACGGCAGCGTCCAGGCAAGATCCATCCACCCAGATTACCACATAGTTGTAAAGAGGGGCCCATGAGTATCCGATCTGCGTTGGTCCGTGGTCGTTGGTCCTTTGACGTGCCCTCTAAGAGAAGATACGGGCCTTTAGTACATACGTATCACAAGCCGCTCTCGTATCACAAACCACCCCTGGGGACGAGTGCTTACGCAGGTGTACGGTTGCATTGCAGTTGCATTGCAGTTGCACTGCATACTGCAATGCAACGGCATCCGTGCAGTTGCAGCTCCTCCCGCTGGCATGCGATGGGGACGAGCAATCCGAAACTCGTCCGCTTCTTGAAGATAGAGTCCCCAAGAATCGGGTTTTTTGGGGGTGTTGAACAATTTGGACTTTACAACTGTATTCAGGGCCACGGGAAGGCACCAGAATGGCAGAAACATGAGAGGCGAAATTTTGCCCGGACGCTGCCTTTAAGACAGGCCAAATGCTGCGCTGTTCCTACTTGGTAATTGTATACAACAAACCTGTAGAAGTACAAACGTAATTTTTTAGCTTTCAAGCTCTATCTGAGATATGGATAACAGCGTGAGACACTGACTGAAAAAAGCCCAAATCTAATGTTTCGAACTAGATCTTATAGAAAGCTAGCAATTAACATTTACACTTCCACAGAGATGTATGCAATTAGCCATGTGGGAACAGCGTAGCATCATTTGGCTAAAGTAAGTTTTCGCTTTCTTGGTTTCCAACCGAGGAAAAATTAGAGCAACGTTACATATAAATGTCTGATTGAAAGCATACCTGAGCAAGCCAGAATTTTGAAGACTATTCTAAGACGGGGTTATGATTTTTCTCGGTTTTTGGGCAGTGAGATCGTTTTAGTTTTTGGCTTTAAACTCGAGGTGGATTGAAGCTTGTGTAAAAGCAAGAATGTCGACTTGTAGGGCTTGCTTTGCTCTACCGAGTGATTCTTTGAAACCTATTAAGAATTGAGAAGTGTATGATTTATAACGGTTAGGATTTGAAACGGGCACTGATTTCCAGACAACCTAATACTTTTTGTTGAACAGTACTTTTTGCGAATTACTGATACAATGAGCTATAGATACTTCATAAATGTTATTTGAGCTTAATACTCTCAAGTATCAAGGAGCTAATAACATATAAAGCATGCATGGATATATTTCTTTGCCGCATGAGCAAAGCACTGTACCTCATTTTCATCCAAGAAATCGATCTCTTCTCGGGTGCAAAAGAGGCATAACAAGTCAATTTTTTGCCCTATAACGTATCAAACCAACCTGCGCCAACACGCAGAAGCATAGTGACATGAAGCCTTGAGAGATCGATGCGAACATAATCATCCGGTGTTTTTCGGGAATGAATGTGGCTAAGTCAAAAAGCGGTCCAGCAACAAATTTCAGTACCAAGCTCAATGCATAGGGTAGAGCCGTAACAAAGCCAGTCTCAGAAACATCAAACCCGAGTGCCTAAAAGCACTAATCTTTATCCATAGTCAGTTCTAAATCATACAAACCATGTTCATATAAGTCGGACCAAATTGTAGAAAAATGAAGAAAGCTGTATTGCCGCTGAACGTGGTCAGGAATATTGCTTGTATACAACGGTCTTTCAAGATTTCCTTGTATGGCACAGTTTCTTTCCTAATATGTTCTTCTTTGCCTAATGTAATTGCTGAGAGTTCCCTAGAGCTGACCAGCCTGTGAAGATGAAATAAGTATACGAGCACTAGTAGCTCTGAAGATTTTACCGATGTTTTCTTGGATTATCCTTGTAGAATACGAAAAACAATAAAGACAGTAGCACACCGGAAACTCCAAAGGTATAGTACAGGTACCTCCACCCAAATGACGATTCGCAGAATGCGCTAGCGAGGGGCATGGTTATGGTTGAAGAAAGCTGAAATCACATGTGTGATCAACAAGAAAAAGTTTTCATATTGTCAGTTGCACACTAGCTCAGACTAAATTGATTTCAAACTCTATAACGCTGATTGCGAGCAAAATCTTTCGCCCAGACCATGACTTTTTGTTATAAGCAGCGCTATTCCCTAAGATTGTACTTAAGGAATACCATATGACAAGGAAGTTACACGGAAAGAATTGAGAATGTTAAAAAGCATTACGCTACAAAACCGAGGCTTGGTGGTGCTCTAAACAAGTGTAATTACAGAATGTAGCTAGCACGCCAAATTTACAACTAACTGTCTTCTCACCTGAGCGGCGGCCGATAGCATTGCTATGTAGCTTCCTGACTCTCGATGTACTGACCATTGTGATGTAATAGCTCCAACGGTTACAAAGGCTATCGCTACCGAAAAACCCTGAAGGCATTCGTTTTGTTTTTTGTACATTCTCGCCAAAACTATTACCTGCAACATTCTAGCAATGGCAACATAGATATGGCCAAGGTCCACCGCCAGAGGAAGAAAAAGTGTGGCGCATGCTGTCACCAGACCATAAAAGGTGAAGATGTACCTAGACGTCTTTTTTATAGTTGTGGTGTTGGACCTTGTATTTATTACTGGAAAGGATTTGATTAATTGTGGAGCCGCTATTGCATACACATCAACGACCGTTCGTTTTGAGAGCTAGTGACTCATGTCACGATAGACCTCATTCTATAGGCCGTCCGCGCTGCGCACGGAGAGCGACGCTGTTGCGTACAATGAAGGCAGTTCACGAGTGAAAGAAGCGCAGAGAAAAACAGGCGGCGAGAGTGCACGAGGAAAGAGGAGTACGCGCAATACACACCTTGCGCACTCTCCGCGCCCTGCGCGGACGGCCTATATATGAAAGCGCGAAAATATTTGGCGATGGAGATATTTTCAAAGATTTCGAAATGGCATCCGTTCCTGCATGTATCCCTTTATTGGAAAGGAAGAAAAAGTGTAACGCTGCCTTTAGCAGCATGGCATTTTTTGACTTTTACAAATACCCCGTTATGAGTAATGTAACGTCCGTTGGAAACAATTCTTCGAATCAATAAAAAATTCGTGCAATTTGCAACCTCGTTCTTGTTATGCATTCTCCATCAAAAAGCAAATGGTTACGGCAATAAGTAGTCTCAGTACAATCTCAATGAAAAACGCAGATACAAGTTTACCAGCGGAAAAAGAATGATTTGAAAGAAGTCAAACTTAATACATATGGCAGATTCGTGACTTTCTTGAGTTAATGGCAAATCCCTAGAATAAAGTTAGACTAGTAATTTAAACTGTGTTTCTTGCTTTTCTCGACAAGGCTGAGATATTTGCTGCAGTTTCCAACCCATCGTTCTAGTATTGTCTGAACTTTGATAATTTTTGAATCTCTTATTCAAAACCTGAAAACCTCAATGTTGACACAAGGTTTTGATATTGTTAGGGTATTTACGGCATACTCGCAGAACTGAAGATTTGTCTGCGAGTTTCGCACAAATTCCAAAGAGAAAATGGTCAAAAAGAAGAAAAAAGTCGCATTAAATAGTACTTAAATCGTCTTTTGCGCGGTCTAAAACGAAAAACGTGTTTAATCATTTGTAGAAATCTAAAAGGTCAGCCGGAGAAATGCAAAAAATGCATTGATTTGCAAAAGACTTAACAAGATTTTTGTAGAACATTTAAATGGAAAAAAACTGGATCCAGGCTGGAAGTGCACATGGTGAAAACGATGGGCTAAAAACTCTGGCAATTATCCCAGCACTCAAAAAGGACTTTTCTTTGAAAGCAAAGGTTTTCAGAGAAAAAGAAATTCTGGATCGAACTCATTTCAAAATGTCTGTCCAACTTTATTGTATATAAATTTTGGACTCGGTCTAGATAAGACAATTAGGACCGACCTAACACAACAACTAACATGATTTTCCTTCTTCGTGAAAGGGAAACAAAAAATGGAATAAAAGAATTAGTATGAAGTTTTCGACAGTGTATTTTGTTAGTATTTTTGATTAGATCTTCCATCTTGCCTTCTTCTGACACTGTAGCCAATGATGTGAGCTCCAATAATGGTAAGAACAGAAGAGTAGCGATTTAAGAGAGTCTACATTCTTCTTTCCTTTCCTGGAATGATCTGAAAGAAGATTAGTTTGTAGAAAAGGTTACTCCTCTGCATGCACTTGTTGGAGGTTTCCTTGTTTGGAGGTAAATTGCGTATTACAGAGGCCAAGCATGCATACTGCTATGTTAGTAAGGAAGTGTCGCAGAAAGTTTATTCTTCCGTCCAGTATTCTGTGACTTTGTATTGGTGCCGCAATCTATAGATGCGAGTGAAATCTGCTGAAAATAGTACAGTTGAGCAATCCTTTACTACTCTCGACTGATTGGTAAATAATTCTGCCAAAACCTACAAAGACTGCGTTGAGCGCGCTCTGGATTCCAGAGTACAACAGAAGAAAAGGTTTTTAATACACAATGTGCAGATAATCAAGAGGCTTTGTTTCGTTCCTGCCCTTAGACAAAGTAAAAGTATTTACAGACTTTCCCCGAACCTCAGTAAGGAAAGAAAGTGCGTAAAACTTATATTCAACACTGAGAAATAAGTTTGTTTAGGAGTAAAAATCATGTATATGAATTTTTTTTAAAGTCGTAGCCAACTTGAGCGAAAAATTGCTGCACCAAAAATCACAAATTGTCGCAGTAAGAAATTTTTTATTTGTGGCTGTGCATGGCTTTAGTATTTAAAAGTTGGAAGACACAGCGAGTTCAAAAAAGTTATCATATCACGAAAATCTTCACGAATACTTGAAGAAATGTATGTCATACAGGAAACACACTTTCGTACACTATGCCTATGAAGATATTCATGATTTGTTACAGAAAGAAATCAAGTTATTTTCGAGGTACAATGCTTTAACCTCGTTTAATCCGATACTTTGTCTCTACTGAAAGTATGCTAACATTCCTGAATTGTATTGGATGTACAAGATGTACCTCAGCCCAATTCGCTGCATAGCTGGAACAATAGGGAAAATTCCAATTAATTGTCCAACAGCTACGATAGAGAAAAGGGCATTTTTCTTAGCTGGATCATTCAGCCAGTGGTCTAAAAGAGAAATCTTGATTGAGACTTTTATATCCTACCTCAAAAAACCATCACAAACTCACGTTTTGCTGTCTCATTTGTTGCCTGAGAATCCACCACATCTTGCATGCAAATTACCGTAAAGCTGAGGGCTTGCTGATTGCTTTGGATAGACGTACTCAAAAGCATTGAGATGATGAGTATAACATATCTAATCAAACTCGATTTCTCTTTCGACATATCGCTCGACATCCTCCCTAAGTTTAAAAAAATACATGTTAGAGACAGCAGATTACAAGCGGATATAACTGTGCTCGAAAGAACTTTCAAAGATTGATAACACATGAAAGCCTAAGTCTTATTATTGAAAGAAAAAGAAACAGAAACTTCCAACCATTTCGATTTCGCAGATCTCATAGCAACATCTATGAATTGAGTCAAAGCAAATATTCTGTAATTGATAAGCAAGAGACGGACATGCGTATGCATTATTTTGGGAGCATACGTCCACTCTAAAATTTCAATTGGATAAGATTCATCTGAAATTTGCTCCACAAGGTGAGCGCAATACTTGAACTTTTTCGGGCTCAAACAACCTTACTTTAAATTAAAAGTTTTCAAATGCTTTATACAACCGCAAGTTTTTAGAAGTGATACAAAAAATCGCAGTGAGAGTATAATTTCAGAATAAAAGAAAAGCTGCAAGCAGTTTCTGCTTGATTTCTGATCGATAATTGTGTAACAGCTGATGTGTTTTGACTCATGGAAATCTGTTCAGTAGTTTTTGCACTCGTCTGGACTGACGAATTTTTTTGACATTAGGTTTATGAAATTTTATTTCATAAACTGAGAAAGTTTCCTTCGAATCTTGTTTGCGTATATTAAACGCGCAACTATCTTGTTTAATCTGCAGAAAATGGACAAAACGATTGCGAATAAAAAAGATTGTTTGAAGGGTATCGTTTATAAAGTTGTGAATAACACCACTATTTTGAATAAATTCCTATACTTGCATTAACATATGTCGTCGAAACGCACCACTCGCGTGCAAATGATTGTTTACTATGTGCGAACTCCGCATAAACCTTCGCAATTGACATGGTTTGAACCAATGGTGTCTATAAGAAAGAAAGTAGAGGCGGATGACACTGAAAGACGAACTTTATGGTTTTATGCATCTTATATATGAAGCTGAATGTCTGTTGGTATGTCTGTATGTATGTCTGTATGTATGTCTGTATGTACGGTTCCGAATAGAAAATTCCATTTCTGAACCGATCGGGACCAAACTTAGCACACATACACTTCGGGCCCCGGCGGGTGTCATAGGCTACTTTTGTCATCGATCGATATCGATTTTGTCGATTTCAAAATTTGAGCTACGGGGCTGAGAGTTGGCACAGGAAGGTACCCCCGTGGGGGTGATCAGCATGCTCGATTACACCCCTCTGCCAAATTCCAGCCCCCTAGCTCAAATTTTGCAAAAAATCGATAAAATCGACATCGATCGATAACGAAAAGTGGACTGTGACACCCGCCGGGGCCCGAAGTGTATGTGTGCCAAGTTGGTCCGGATCGGTTAAGAAATGGAATTTTCTATTCGGAACATACGGCGGAGCCGGGTAAGCCAGCTAGTTTTTGATAAAAAGGCGAATCATTCAATGCGTATGGACAGTCGGATTTCCGTTCCGGAGGGGGGCGGGGGAGTAAGAGGGCGCCTGGCGGCAGCCACGCCCCGAAAAATTTTGTTACAAGGGCACAACTGTATTTTTAAAAGAATTTAAAAGTGATTTAAATTATCTACAAGAAAGAAGTCACATGCGTAGCCCCACTCGGTCCGTCATTGCTTATGGAGTTTATTCATTATCTGACTCACTAGAATTTTTCTACCACTTGATTGTACATAAATGCAAATAGGATTCAAGCGAAAGACCGCACCTATAAGAAATCTTTGTGGTACTTAGTCCACACTTTTACTCCACTCACCGAGATTATAACGATATGAACATCAAGTCAACGCCACTCTTAGGTAAAGTCGATCCTGTTCAAAGCCTTTGCTTACTGGTTTCCCGAGGATTTTAAATGTTCATATAATTATTTCCTTAACGAACTTAAATAACGATCGTTTTGAGGAGACTTTGACATCGTGATCAAGGTTAGAAAATGGAAGCAGTCTTTCGATAAAAGTACAACATTTCCTGACATTGTACAATAATGATAGTGCAAGTCCAGCAGCTTCTCATGATACACCAATATTCCTGATGCTAATGGAACAAAAGCAATGATGCTTATTTCGGTTGGCACAATAATGCTCCAGCAGAATTGAAAGATACGTATGATTAGTTTGAGGCAATGTATTATAAAGATTTACAATGCTCAATAAAGAAAGCGACCATTTGAAAGAACAGAAGCTAATACAGGTTAGCTTCCCAGGACAAACGCAAGTGTGGAGCCTTGACACTATTGGTGTACTAGACCAAGTCCGCTTTTGTACATGAGAAACAATTCACATACGTCCAAAAAACATGTGATAAACATAATCTGTACTCAAAGACCATAACAAAAAACGCATCAAATATCAGCATCATGAGTTATTCCGTCACGTAGAGTTTTTTGCAGGATAGAATGATACATTCTGTGTGATTTGTGATGCCTTATGAATTCGAACTTTCATGTCTGATAAGAAAGAAGACTGTACTGACCTAGCTCAAACACACCCATCTAAACGAGTATAAGAGGCAAGAAAGAATGTGCCAAATCTTACATAAAAGGATGGATCCTTCAAATTTCACTCTCAATAATAGTGGCAATATGACTTATTGCTAAAAGAGATACTGAAAAACAAAACATTCGACCTGACTACTAATATTCTGAGCTGAAATCTTTCAATTTTTTTACAAACTTTGTCCTCTATTTATTGATTTGTTAATGCAAACTCAGAATTTATCCAAATATAAGATGAAAATCACAAATTGCAGTAGTGATGACTTAGGGGCCAAGAGGTGTGACACACAACCGCCGGTCCCTTCCTCCCCCTCCCCCTCCTCCTCCTCTCCCGCTGAACGTCTCAATAGAACGTGAAACATTATGGTCTGCGCACAGTAGGCATAATATAGAAATCCTACCAGTCCTAATGAGCAGCATAAATGCATTTAGCTGTCAAATAACTTCCATGGAACAAACTTTAGGGAACTCTGAGGTATCCAAACAATAAGCCACCCAAGTGAATTAGTCATTTTCGAAAGTGATCAACTTTGTTTTGAAGGTTAGGTACCTCTCTTTGCAGTCGATACAATGCACTACCCCGTTTTCGCTTTCGAGGCTCAAATAAGCGTCAAACGGGGATCCGGAGCCAGGCGAAATCTAATTGTTCCACTTTTTTGCTTTCAGTGGTTGTGCTTTCAGCAACGTTACTCAGAAAAGAAGACCAATCAGGCTGATATTACTGCTGTGAAAAAGATTTAGACCATGAACTATGTGTATATTAGAATGTTCTAAGGTAAGTAAATGGTGTGTGACACAAACCAGTGTTAGTGTGCTTCATTTTTGCATAGTGAGCTTCACTGCTTTTTCATTGTATATCATAATATAGCATCAGTATCACGTCGTTTATGACCCCTTCCCTCTCTGACTCCCTAAAACGACCCATTAGGGGTGGCATGCCACACCTCATTTTGACCGTAGTGAGTACCGAACGAACCGTTTGACCGTATGAGTACCGAACAAATGCTTAATTTTGTGAGCGATGACACATAGATTAAATAAAATTAGTCTACCTAATTCAGTACACTTACTCTTGCCAAAACAGAAGTTGGAGCAGCATCCACGGAGCATGTAAAATGCTTATCACTTTAGTGAATATTATTATTACCTTACTGGGTTGGCGAGCACAACAGTATTCTCGAATAAGGAAGTTCAGAAAAATGATGTCTTTATGATGTCAGGAGTTCTAGATATATAGCAAGACAAGGAAAGTTGTAAATAGTAGTTGCATGAAGCTGTGATATAAATTCCTCTTAAGATTGAGTTACGAAAAAAATTCAGAACATAGTTCTGCGTTTTCGACACACCACGACACAAACAGTTCTGTTCGCGCAAAGAATACACTATCGCACTGTTAGAATGTAATCATACTTAATCGCATTATGTACCGAACAACTGTAAGAGCATATGAGTACCGAACAATTGCATAATTTTATGAGCGATGACACTTTGAGGCTCAGACGTACCGCAGAGATCCAACATCATTTTGAGTGAAGTCTGTGGAATGTATCAAATGGACCAACGCTATTTGATGAAATTTGCTCTTTTGCAAGTACATAAAGGAGTTGTATGGCTGGGCGAACCAAATAGACATTTTAAAGTTCTGCAATCTTGCAGACTACTGAGTCTTATGATGGCTCAAATCAGTTCAGCCAACACGCGTAATGAGAAGGAGCAAAATTGCATTTATCGTTTCTTCTTTGCGCTGCAGTTCCGTTTTATCTTCAAGCCCTCTTTACTTGATAAGGTATTGTAAATGAGGTGCTAATCGTGAAGATTTTTGCAGCGTTAAAATTTACATTTCCACTGGAGCATAGGATTGCATTATGTGCCACCACTATAACTAATTCCAACAACTCATTTTTATCTTGCACCATATGATTTTTGAACTGCAGGACGTGGCTTAAACTCAGAAAGATCATAGGCACGAATCAATATGCAATTACTTGTAACTCAACAAAAAAGCAATGCAGGCATTTTGCAATATTTTTCACAACTCGGAAAGGCCCGGCAATAACAGCTCGGCTTTCCTCGTTTGAATTCTCTAAACAAAATGGGACGATCTACACTTATATTAAACTGAAGACATGGCCAAAGCTTATTTAAAAGTAAAGGACTTTGTGATAGAGTACTTTGTGAGAAAGTACTACTTTATCACAAAGTGATAGTTTTCCAGAAGCGACATCCAAATTTTCTTCTGTCTAGGGAAAAACGCCATCAGAATTTGATTTTCTGTGGCTTCCTTCCGTATACAATACCGCTCATAATTCGTCAAAAAAGTCGCCGGAGTGCAGCAGAGTGCGCAGCACTCCACTAGCTCAGACAATCGACGGGACCCCTTCGCCGGACAGTCCGAATCTGCCAGAGTCGCGCCGGACCCAGTTGACCAATGAGAGCGGGGCAAATGGGCGGTCCGTCGCGTGACATCACTGGCAGGCAAATGGGACGCTTCTCCGTCCCTGCTGCAAAGGTACGCCATTTCTCCGGCGCGACTCTGCCAGA